CAGCGAAATGCAGACTTCAGTTTTCTCCCTCCCCAAGAATAGAGGGTCCCAAAATGGCTTCCCATTTCAAAGAGAGAGGGAGAGGCGTTCATTTCCATTCTCCAAGATAGGGTCGTCTGCTTTTTCCCAAAATGGCTTCCCAATTCAAAGAGAGAGAGAGAGAGAGTAAAAGGGTGTGTAGAGCGGTCATGTTCATTCTCCAAGATAGGGTCGTCAGCTTTTTCTCAAAATGGCATCTCCCCATTCAAAAAGAGATCGTAACCAATTTTTTCCAGTTTTTTCCAAGAGGGGGGGGGGGAGAAGAAAACCTAGGATGGAATAACACGACACACAGAGAGAAAGAGAAAAAAAAACGCCATCTTGTCATTTTCTGATAGGGTACCGGTTCGACTTTGGACGATTCTTAAAGAAGACAATAGGTACAAGAATTTTTTTTTTTTAACAGTACATGAATTCACTGCCAGTAAACGTCATAAAGGATGTATTTAAAGTAAGTATAGTTTAGTTTTTTAAATTACTAAGGTATTTAGAAGGGGCAACTCAGCGAAGTAGGCAAGCCATTGGAGTGTCACAAAGTGTGATTTCCAGGATCTGGAACCACTTTTTGGAAACTGGAAGTGCAGGCCGAAGACCAGGGGAAGGTCGTAGATGGGCAACAACGCCCAATGAAGATCGTTATTTAGTGTTAACGACTCGGAGACACCGAAATATGAATGCTTCTCTTCTCCAACAACACCTTCGCTCGGCTACTGGCAGCACGGTTTCAACTCAGACTGTCCGAAACCGAATCCGTGGTTTAGGTCTGTATGCTCGCCGACCGATGGTATGTGTTAGACTAATATCAAGGCATCTTCGCGACCGCAGGGAGTGGGCAACAGAGCATGTGAACTGGAGGAGAAATGAATGGAGCAATGTTCTTTTTTCTGACGAGTCCCGTTTTTCTGTTCATCGTGATAATAGGATTATTTTCATCTGGAGGGACCGTGACAGTAGGAATAATCCTGCGTTCGTTCACGAAAGTGTCAGATTTGGCCGTGGGGGAGTGTTGATGTATGGTGGCATCTCCATTGACGGGCGCACAGACCTCTACATCATTCGAGATGGACCTCTGACTGGTCGCCGATATAGGGATGAGATCCTCAGACCTATTGTAGTCCCTTACGCTGCAGCAATCGGAGATGAATTCATTTTAATGGACGATAACTGCAGGCCACATCGTGCTAACCTGGTGGAGGATTTCCTTTTCGAGGAAGGAATCATACGAATGAAATGGCCAGCGTGTTCTCCAGACATGAATCCAATAGAGCACGTTTGGGACGCTCTAGGAAGACGAGTTGCTGGCCGCCAACCACCCCCACAAACTCTCCAAGAACTGGAAAGAGCTCTTCTGAAAGAGCTCTTCTGAAAGAGTGGGACAGAATACCCCAACTCGTGATTAATAGCCTCATTGACTCCATGTCTCAAAGGTGTTCAACGTTGCTGGCCGTCCGTAGAAACCATATCCCCTACTGAAAATGATGTCCTTTGAAGAAAACAACTTTTCTTATTCTTTTTTTCTCATATGCACAAACTGTGCTTTTTCCCTTTTGTACACAAATGCGCAATAAAATGCATTTTTTTCTGCCAAACATGTGTAATTTATTCTCATATAACCTACTACGTCTGTCGACCATGTATCAATCAGCTAAAAGGTATCCCAGCCACAAGATCCACCTAAAATCCTTTAATTGTTTTGAGCAGTGTATATTCCAAATTTCCTATTTTGGATTTGTGAATAAATAATGAGCTTTTTAAAACAAAAACACACATTTTGGCCGAAATATAGAAACTAGGTATTGTTATATACTACATGAATAACTTTATGAAATACAATACCCTATATATTGCTCTGATATGAAAATTTTACTTATCAAACATTTTTTTTTGGGAGATGGTATAAATTAAAAAAAAATTAGCATGTCAAACCATGGAAATCTTTATAGATATTTAAAGAGTTTGATATTTACTTTAAAAAAATGAATAGATAAAACAGTGTAAATAATATACAAATTAAAAATATATGCTTTTGTTTTAACAAATACAGGGTTTATAAAACTGACTGTTTCACAGAAAAGAAAAAAAAAGCTTTTATGAATAGAAAGTGAAAACTAGTAAAGATATAATGATGAAAGCCTCATTCAAACCTACAAAAGTTCACTTGGATATAGTTTTGATGGTTTTTTTTTTAAACTATATATACTGTTTGTATGCAACAAAACGTTAAGGCCCGTTTTCAAGGATTTTATGATGTATTTATGTTGCTAAAAAAATAATTTTAAAGGAAAAGGTTTTTTAAAAATCTTAAATTAAACAAATAGGACTATGAAAGCAAAAACTCTATATAGGTATCTGTTGATTGTACTCTGTATAAGTATAGGCGATCTGTTGACATTACGAGTTAATAGCATTTTGTTCCTTATACTTATAATGTTTGGTAAGTTTGAATTCACTGCCACTTTATTCCTGCTTTACCAGATCTTTCTCATTCATTAGCTTAAATTTAAAAAAAAATTAGGATTGATTCATTCATTATTAGCTAAGATACACTACAAATTTTCAGCTCATTTATAAATTTTGAATTAGATTTTTTTTAACAAAGCAAACATATCGCACAATCTTATCTCAATATTTTAATAATAATAGCATTTTTCTTCTTCTTTTTTTTTTATCGCAGGCGGTACTTGTTTACGAAACCAAAAACGCGTACGACTTGTCGAAAAAAGGTTAGCGCCAATTGGCGCAGCCAGGGCCGTAGCTAGAGGGGGAAAGGGGGCATCTGTCCTCGAGCGCAGAATCCAAGGGGTGCCATACTGATGTTACGACATTTTAGAATTAAATGTTTTCCATCCTTGGTAAGCAGTAGGGGGCGCGAAATCTTCAGTTGTCCCTGGGCGCTGAAAACCCTAGCTACGACTCTGGGCGCAGCTTTCTATTTCAACGGAGTACACGGAAAAAGAACATAAAATTCAATTATTTGTAAAAGGTGATTCCAGTAAATAATGTCACAGTATTTAATACATTTTGATGCTATTAATACATGCTGAAAATGTCATATACAGCGACAATTTGCTTATACAGTATAGCTGAAACTTTCCAACCAATTCAACAGAGATAGTAAAATGACAAAAATACTGGAAATAAAATAATAAATCATGCAGTTTTAACTTAGCTATGAAAGGTTACAAGGCCTTTTACAAAACTTTCTTCACATCCATAGGCGATGCAGCGGATAACTCTTTTTTCTTAAAATTTTATGTGACCAAGCAGAGCAGGCGTCTTTCGCCCCATAGAAATGAATGTAAAGTATTTCCGGACTTTCGGAATTCGACCAGTAGTCACGTGACACTAATGTTGGAACCGGTTGGAGGTTGCAAATACGATCTCTACCAGTATGTATCTCGTTGGTTGTAACTTGATAGTGACCATGTAGTTAACTTTCTCGAAGCTTCCAAATGTTAAGAAACAGAATGTTAACCAAAGAATCTTTACACTCATTCAGAGCCACGTGGTGGAAATATCACACCCCTCCCGAACTCAAAGTGACACTCTTATAGTCAAAACAATTCTACCATATAACCTAGTAATGATAGGAAAACTAGACCTGGTGAACAAAACGATCCTCCGCTTTCTAGAGCAGCTAAACCGAACACTAAAAGTCAGAATAAAAACTCTACAAATAATATCTCCTCTACTTTTAAGGGCTTTTTGCAGGTCATTAGTGAAGTAAACAAAGTCTTTAGTGGATTTTCTGTTTTTGATGTAATTAAAATAATCACAAATCGATTGTATGAAATTCGTGCTGCACCTACTCCCATAGACAAAATTTTTGTCTTCTTTCACATATTAGAAGAGCAATCATCAGCAACTAATAACAGATTTTATTTTAGATATAAAAAATGCACTCAGATATATATGTTCTGCTTTACCACTTAGAAATAATACTTAAGCAAATTTTGTGGTATGGGCTATACCTTCACATCATTTTGAGTTTATTAACTTTCTTTAGAATATGGTCACTTTTATCTGGTTGCATGTGTAGTCTCCCTTTTATTTTTTTGTTTATTATCTCTGTCTTTCTCGCATTCTCTACATTGATTATATATTCTTTATGAAAATGAATATTTAGACAAAATAATGCATAAGACAATTAACATTATATATCATTGCAGAACTAATTCTAGAATGGCTACTAAGTGGAAGGCTATCAAATACTGCATTTTTAAAGTAAATAATAGAAGCATATTTCTATCGTAGTTATATGAGAACTGAATAATATGAGATTATAGTTAGTTATACGAGAATATCTGAAATAATATTTTCACAAGCATACACATAATATTTCAATACTTGGGTTTTCAAAGCAGAAAAAGTTGTAAAATAATACATATCCAGAAATAAGTGTCAAAAGTAGCTAGTTATCTGATACATATTAATACATATATAAAATCGGATCGAAAAGTAATTGCCCTGCGTTTTCCCAATAGACGCACAATACTCGACTTTTAATGCTAATTTAGTAACATAACAGAACCAAATTAGGAATCAGATACAAAACAAATATAAACACATCTTAATCCCGTTTTTCCCCATGTATTATCCTTTTCTCCCTAGCTCCTATTCCCCACATGATATTTACTTCCGTTGGCATAATGAAATGTCGCCCATATCCTTACATATCCTTAAAGGAGCCAAGTTGGCGCAACCAAGGCTGTTCTCCGAACCTTATCCCACTCATGGACACAATCGTTTTTTAGGAAATTTATCTTACTTCTTTTCCTATTCTTTCTATAGGTCCCTTTTTTTAAACTATTTATTTACTTTTTTCCTCTCTGTTACTTTTGGGCCATTTATTTGTAATTTTATTTTGTTCCATCTTTTCTTTTTGGCCTTTCGAACTCATATAAGTTCATTTTTACTCTCCTCTGAAATACGAAATTGCCTCCCTTTCTATATGCCTCCCTTTCCTTCGCACCTAAGCTTGATTTTTTCGCCCATCGGGTCAGAAAGACTTGGCGGGTGCAACACTATTCTAACCGGTGCATATGCGCTCAACAATTGTCGAATTTTGCTACGCTCCGGCTAAGTGAATATCACCCAAAGAATCTCTTAGATACTCTTTGATATCACCAGTATTTTAACCAAAGAACTTTCGAAGTTATGTTTTGTTAAAGAGTAGTGGTTGAATGTTTAGTCTCCATCATGAATCTTCCAGATGTGCCGGCGGATCAGGTATGTTAAAACGAAACTAAATTTTGCCCATGTCAATATGTAGTAAATAAACTTACAGTGAGGACTTATCTCTTTAGTTGCTTAAAAAAAGTGAATAATTTAGGAGTTGATTTAATCATTAATTCCTGTTCTTTTAATGTCAGGAATTTTAAATAAATTATAACCTTTGCAAAAGTTACATTTTCGTGGTTACAAACATTTAGATTTTAATTATTGAAATATCAAATTCTTACTACACAGAGTGCCTTAAAATAAAACTTTTTTTCAACTTGTATAATTTCTTAATATCACGGACAGAATAATTTGTCTAAATACATGTTAAGCATTTAGACAAATTATTTCTCCTTATTAGTATGATAAAACATTCATACTCTCTATTATTAGTATGATAAAACATGAAATCATGATTATGTTATCATTATAAAGGACGTGCTTACGTTTGACAGCACATGTCGTCATGAAAGGAGAGAGTAAAAATAATCTGCAATTTAGAAAATATGGGGAAAGTGCAGAATCACCCACTGCTAGGCGTGTTTTTAAGAGTTGCACATATTCAGTATCCATGTGCACATTGATCTATTTTCGGTGAAAGTGCAGAATCGGCCACTGCTTGGCGCGTTTTTAAGAATTGCACATACGTGGTATCCATGTACACGTCGACCTACTTTTACTTAAAAAATAATCCCAGAATTGCACAAAAATGGCATTGCGCACACTCTTGACTTTATCCATGTATACATCGACCTATTTTCTTTTGAAAAGTGAATGGAAATTGACAAAAATCCAATTCTTCTTACTCTTGTAAAAAGCGCGAAACAAATAAGTGGGCGATTCTGCACTTTAGCCCGATCTTCACCTAAAAACACATCACAGAATTGCACAAAAGGCACCATTTTTGTGCAGTTCTGACTTTATCCATGTGCACTTCGACCTATTTTCACTTATGACATAAATTGAGAATTCTTGGCATATATGACTTAATAATAGGCAGCATATTGATTTTTGTAGTTGCTGCTTTAACTGTTTTCTGGATCCTTCATCCATAATAATTATCATTGAATTCTGTTTATGTTAAAGCGATTGTGATTTTTATGTATTATACACATATAACCTCAGTTATATGCCTTAATTACCTTAATTGCGTGTAATACCTTGGTTATATGCGTGAAGATAGATGTCAGAATTAAAGGAATACAGTGTTTAATCAAAGAAGAATATCACTAGCAATTTAATTAATTGTGATAAAGCTGCACCTCAAGTTATTTAAGGAAACTTAATTTGAAAAAAGGTACATTGTTTTAAACAATTGTGAAACCCTTACAGGATAGATAACAAAGCTTTTCTTCAGATGAATTGGAACATTTAAACAATTGTGAAACCCTTACAGGATAGATAACAAAGCTTTTCTTCAGATGAATTGGAACATTGACATCCTCTACTAATAAACTTTATGGTAGATTAATTTCAACTATGTGATTCATGTGATTTAATGAAATGCTTGCCATTAAAAAGAGAAAGGAAAAAAATAGGTTTCATCTGCCGCATTTTACATTTCGTGAATGTCTGCATTATAAACTCGGATATGTGTCATAATTGGGCCAGCATAGTATGTCAAGTTTTGTTTTCTATCAGACAAGAAGTACTTAAAAAAAGTAGCTACTTATTTATGACCATTATTTTATTATGCATTTGCATTGGACTGTATTTGTATACATTCTAGATTTCTTATTATAAAGAAGCAAATATTAAGTACTTGTTTAAAACAGCTTTTATTTATTACTTGTGATTAAAAAAAGGACTGTGTGACAAGAAAAAAATGAATTAAGGATATTAATTTGAATATAGATAATGTTAACATTTTATGATTGTGTATGTTTATGGCAATTTATTACAATTAATTAATGTAAGCAATTTAATTAATTGTAATAAATTGCCTAATACTTAATACTAATAAAGCTGCAAAGTAATAAAATAATTTATTTTCTAATAGATATTTAGTATATTAGCTCCTTTGAGAAAAGTAGTTAGAATTCTGTTGAAATTTTGTAATTTAATTTTTAAATATGCCAATATTTAAAAATTGAATCCTGAGTAAACTTAAAATGGAAACATTAAAAAGGTATAATTAAAAGTGAAAATGCAATCAATAAACTAAGTTATTATTATCATTGATAGGAAATTAATTGACTTTTCAAGGGGAACAAAGTAACTTCTGATCAGTTAACAATAATTAATGAATATGGAAATGTTTCATTTTTTTCTCAGGTATGAAATATGACAAAAAAAGCTTTTTAGTAAGATGAGTTTTAAGTTAAGTAAGTTTAAGTGAGATAAGTTCAAGTAAAATTGCTAATTAGAAGCAAAATTGCTAATCAGTAAAAAATTGGCTGTACAATTAAGTTTTAAAAATCAGTCTTAAAATTGGGATGTATTATTATAAGAGTGATTTTTATTTTCTTTTATTGATTGCATTTTCACTTTTAACTATATAATGTCTCCATTTTAAATTTATTCAAGATTCAGTTCTTAAATATGCTAATGAGTTATATAATTTCAAAAGAATTCTGACTACTTTTGTCAAAGATAATGTACTAAATAATCTATTACAAAATAAATTATGGTTGATCTTTACATTATGGTAACTTGGCGTTTTTTTGGCGAAAATTTGGCGACCAACTCTCCTACAGCAACCCTCTATTTTTTTTTTCCCGCCGCCCTTTTGTCTTCACGAAGTAAAGACATGTTTCTTTTCTTTTTATCTACTGAACACTTCTTCCAACAATCTACTAGCCGAATTACACTTATGCTAGAAATTTTATCTAACAAAACTGCTTAATCATGACAAATATTCCCTGCAAAATTGGGAAAAAGTGCACAATACCATACTCCTTACGCGTTTTTCAAAATAACACATACACATAAACCATGTACACGCCGACTTTTTTTTACTTAAAAAAACATCCCAGAATTGCACAAAAATGGCATTGCGCACACTCTTCACTATATCCATGTACACTGCTTTTTTCTCATAAATTAGAAAAATTTCACGAAAATACATGACAATTTTCTCAATCTTTAAACCCGGTAAAAAGAACATATATGAAATTACCTGATCGCGAAAAAGTATTTACCCTTTCCAAATATGAACATTTCCACATATAAAATAAATAAAATATCCAAAAACTTTTACCTCTAAATCATCTATTACATTATACACGTCACCAACGAATTCATACCGCATACTTCAACTTAAACGTATACCAAATTCCTACAAACATAAAATTCACAAAATAACTATCATTTAATTAAAATATCACTAAACCATGTACACGTCGACTTATTTTTACTTAAAAAAACATCCCAGAATTGCACAAAAATGGCATTGCATCTTTAAACCCGGTAAAAAGAACATATATGAAATTACCTGATCGCGAAAAAGTATTTAACCTTTCCAATTATGAACATTTCCACATATAAAATAAATAAAATATCCAAAAACTTTTACCTCTAAATCATCTATTACATTATACACGTCACCAACGAATTCATACCACAAGCATTACAAATACTTAGTATCAAATATTTAAATTATTTCCATGCACGTTTACTTCAACTTAAACATATACCAAATTCCTACAAACATAAAATTCACAAAATAACTATAATTTAATTAAAATATCACTAAACCATGTACACGTTGACTTATTTTTACTTAAAAAAAATCCCAGAATTGCACAAAAATGGTATTGCGCACACTCTTCACTACATCCATGTACACTGCTTTTTTCTCATAAATTAGAAAAATTTCACGAAAATACGTGACAATTTTCTCAATCTTTAAACCCGGTAAAAAGAACATATATGAAATTACCTGATAATGTATACCAAATTCTTACAAACATAAAATTCACAAAATAACTATCATTTAATTAAAATATAATTAAATTCAAAAACACTACTTAAAATATAAATGAGCACATACATTAAATTAATAAAAATTACCTTACAATCCTAATTACTTTAAACTAAATCATTGCTAATAACAATTTTCCCAATAATACCAAATTCCTTTACTTCCACCTTACATTTAGAACAATGCATAAAAATAAAAATAATATCCTCAAATAATTAAAAATACTAACTTACCTAATCTTCTTCAGAATCTTGATTACGTGTCCGATAAACTTTTCTTTAGTTACGGCCATGGGATCCAAAAATTCACGAACACTGTTTCACACAACACAGAATAAACCAAATACAAAATTTCCAGATTTTTTCCCGATTTCCCCCCTTTTCCGATTCAAGAACCGTAATTCGTCCATTAATATCACATGACATATCAAATGATCTCTCATTTCCCTCACACAAAATAATGCGTAATCGGAACTGAGTACTGCTCACATTATTACCAAAGTCCCAGGTAGTAAACCTTTATCGCCTACAAAATGTCGCCAAACTACCAGTTACCATATTGTAAAGATCAACCGAAATTATAAATGTATATATGCATATAGATAATATTATATATATATGCATATAGATATGTTGTATGATCTTAAATTCATTAAGTGCGAAAACAAGTTACTACTACTTGCGCAATTGCTGCAAAGTTAGTTAATAATAATTTATTTCCTAAATAATATTGATTAATTGGTTATATTATCTCCTAAGTTTAATTAAAGTAGAAGTATTTTAAAAGAGTGAATCCATACTGGTAAGTTATATTTTGAAAGATGTATTGAAGTAATTTGAAAGCAAAATGTTAATAATGTTTTAACAGGGACTGGAGTTAAATCATCATGAAGAATAAAATTTCAATTGTAAAAGGAAAAGTTAAAAACATGTAATCATTGTCATTGATCGGAAATTAGTTGACTTTTCAAGGGGAACAAACCAACTCCCGTTCAATGAACAATAATTGATAAAAATATGTAAATACAAAGGTGTTTCGTCTTTACTCGAGTTATAAGTTAAAGCCAAACTGGCAATTCTAGTCAGCCAAATATTTCCACGAATAGAAGGGATTATGAACCAATGCTGATACTCAAAGAACTTATTCTTGTGAAGCATTTTAGTCAATTCAATTTGGTGTAAAAAGCAATTTCTGTAGAGAAATCCGAAATAACCCGAGTAACCGTCCCCGACACCTTTATGTTTATGCATTTGAGTTCTATATTATTTGTAAAAATTAACCATTGGAAATTGTCATTATGAAGTCAAATTCAAAGTAAAGTTGAAATAAACATAGAAGATTACAAAATAAGATAAATAATGCAAACTTTGTAAAAACCAATCAAAGACAATAAAAAAATAATATACATGAAGATATAAAGGCCAGAAAAGGTATTAAGTAACTTACGTTCTTTCTAGTGGGGGTATATATATGCATATAGATATATACATCCTCCAATTTTTTTTTTAATATGAATTTTGATTGATACTTTCTTTCACATGCTTTAAAGAATGAAAATACACTTATCATTATGTATTATAAGCAGGGCCAGGTTAAGCACTTAAAAGATTTTGGTGCCTCCACATACGTGTAGTACTTATGTTTTCTCTGCATTTCTTCTCTTTCAGCCTTAGTTTAGCTGCACCGCTTTAGGGTAAGATCCCGAACGGAAATTTTTTGTGGTGTTCCTTTTCTTGGTAACAAGAAAAATAATGCCACTGGTTTTCATGTTGCTTTCCATGCAAGATCATTTCTTTACCAGATTTGATTGTGTATGAGAGTTTTATTTTTTTTTTTTTCCCAGACAGACTTGTTTAAAAAAGATTATTCATATCAGTCTATCTATATATAAATATATGCAAGATGCAAATATGTAAATCAAAATTCAGTTTGAAGTAGTTCACCTTTCTATTTTAATTGGCTGTTTTCGCTTGCTGTCCTAAAAATAGTAACTGCTTATAATAAATCACGCTAAACTGCTGCATTTTGAAAATAGTCCATGCCATATGAATCTTGCATAATTTTAAGAATGAAAGCACTTCCGTAATCATTTCAACAAATAAGATTTCATTTGGAACTGAAACTTTTTATTAATATCCAGTAGGAACAGTGAGGAAATTATGTGAAACTAAAATCATATCTGTCTTGAGCTTTCATCTTGAGCACATGCATTTGCTTTTTCTGGTCTCTGCTGCCAACATGTTGCTGTCTGCTCTTTCTTTCTTCAAACTCATTTCAAAACTGCAAGAGTATTGGTGTAGTTCTTCAAAAACAGGCACTTAGTGTACTAATATATCTGTGCTGGTTTATGAAAATGTTTGTCAGCAAGATTAAAAAGGGAATATTCAAAGGGGCCTTGACTGCAGACTTCTTTATGTCATCAACATCTGAATCATCACATATATATTGATTAATTGTAGGAGGAATGTTCCTCGGATGAGGGAAATATTTACAGTCATCATGAAATGTGACAAGGCATTTTAATCAACAAAATTTTATCATTTGCATTTTATTATTTGATTTTTGTCTGTTATTACAAAGAATATTTGCTTTCAGGTAAATAAACTGTGAAATAAAAAGGAATCTAAAAAATCTATTAATAAGTATTATATTTGAAAATAGAAATTATTCTGTTAATTTAAAAATTAAATAAGTACAGAACAAAATCTGAGATTTGGACTATGCGACTTAGATGATTCTGGATTTGGAATTTTTACGGATATTAGATCATCACTTTAAATCTAGTAAGATGACATGTCAAAATTATAAAATCAAAAATATGAAATGGTGATTTTTGAAATAATTAAGCATTTGGGATCTTAAGGGAACCAAAATTTATGGAAAAAGAGTTCAGTATTTATTTATTTGCTTTATTAAACATTTTTTTAATGTAAGTTGTTTAATTTGCTTATTTTTTGTTCTAATACTTTCTCTTTAATTCTATAAATGGATATAATTTCTTGTTCAGTTACAAAGTAATATTGTCCAAGTCCTGCAGTTGCCATGTTGAGGTATTCCATCAAATTGTCAGTCAAAACACTTTTTGCTCTCAACAACTTCTCTGTCACTTTCTTTGTTATCAGTATCGATATCTTCTGGATTTAGATCCACAGTACAGATTTTGCAATCTATTAGTTGATTGATGGTTAGGGCCTTGTCATAGCAATGAAAAAGTTTAGTTATGTCATTTATTGATTACCACTTCTCCACATGTCTTTACAAATATCATTAATTGGAAAATTTTATTTTTTGTGCGCAATATCCACAAATCTTCTAATTGGCAGCTATATAACTGAAGCTTAGCTAGCGTCCGATATACACTATTGATGATGTATCATCAAATTGCTGACTATGTTGTTCCGCTAAATTTTGTTTTTCCTTCTATTGCACACTGATGAAGTAAACCTGAATCATAGTTATATTTAGGAGGGAGCTAAAGAGAAATCGAATTCGAAGGATCGAAGGGTTATAAATTGATTCGAAGGATTATACATCGAATCAATCGGATTTGAAGGATTATAAATCAGATTTGGAGGATTATGAATCGAATACATTGGTGCAAAAACATTGGTTTTAGATAAAACTCACTCACCCCCCCCACTCCAAAATTAAATCCTAGCTGCAGTACTGGACTGAATTATATTACTTTAGTTATTCATTATACTTATAAGAATTTTCTGCTTATCTGAGTCTTGAATAGATAAATTCCCACATATACTTAAAACTTATCCAGAGACAGCTCTTGACATTTTGTGCCTGGTACAGTCTCTGTAGGTCTGAAATTTTACTGCCAAATACCTCCCTAAATTTACAAAAAAAAAAAAAAAAAAGGCACTCCTAAGTTTTACATTCCAGTGCCTTGTTTAAATTCTAAAGATTTTTACATCCCTTAATTTTGTTGTTCAGTGCATCTCTAAATTATAAAAACTTTGCCTCCCCTCAATTTTGTTGCATTGTGTGGTCGTACCAGCTCTGTCACCGGTTTTGAGTGGAATAACAAATGAATTATTCTCAATTAAACAGCACTAAATGTTATCTTTTCAGTATATCATTTAAAAATTCTATTTTATACATATGGAGAGAAATTTTTAAAAATTTCTCCTCGTCAGCACACTTAACACTTCACAGCAGTGTTAGCTAAAAGTCTGTAATCATTGCCAAATATAATGCTACCATGTTCTTTGGTATTCAGTTACTGATAAAAATAATAAAAAAAATGGTTTAGGCATCACTGTATGGTTTGGTTTATTTAATTATGGCAAAGCACACTAAGGCTATCTGCCTAAGGGGAGGGATGCCATCGTGGAGGACTTTCTAAGGGAAACTGTCTCGTATACACGTTACACATGGGGAAAACCACGAAAACTCCCATGCAACCAGCCCGTTCGGGGGATTCGAGCCTCAGACCGAACTACTTGTGTTCAGCAACTTTACCGCTCGGCCACTGGTGGGCCCATCACTGTGTAAGTAACTTCTAAAGCTGTAGTGTGGTGATAGTGTTGGGACTTTCCACATGTTTTATTTTGAAAGAGTATCAAATATGCAAGTGCAAAGCATTAAAAAAGAATTTTTAAAAAAAAGGTTTCAGCCAATGTAGAGTTCCTGATATTGAACGTCTAGACTTTATAGTCTAGATTTTATAGTAATTTGTACTGTGTTTCATAGTTATTCTTTTTAAATGTTATTGCTTTTTTTTTTTTCAGCCAACTGCTGGATTCCAAATTGCACCTGGTCGATACATTGGTGATGAATTTCCATGTTTTATAATTGCTGAAATTGGGCAAAATCATCAAGGAGATATTCATCTTGCCAAAAATCTAATGCAAATAGCTGCGGTATTTAGATTTTGTATACTTTAAGATGTTTTATTTGATTGTTGTTTATTATTTTATTAATTTTGACCTTCAAAAATATTGCATTTAGTTTGATGATAAGTGTAGCTTTAGAACTTCCTTTTTTCCTCATCTTCTGAAATCATTTTTTTCTAAAATGTTTTCCTCTGTCAGAAGTCTCTAGTAAATCTGAAGCTATCTTTTTGACAAAAACAATTCTGCTGGAGATAACATAAAACTGGGAAAGTCTTTAATGCCAGTTTCAATTTCAATAAAGAGTATCAGTTGTCACAAAATAAGGGGTTGTTTATAAACCATTTTTTTTTTTTGAGAAACTCAAGAATTAAAATATTTCAGTGTTAACCGCCATGAAGCATAAAGTAAAAAAGTAAGGGAAACATTCACATTCACTTCACTAATATATGAAAATGCAATACTGTTCAAACCCAAAGTAAAAGTACTGTGAGTATAATAGCAAGGAATATGAATAGGAGAAAAAAGCAAACTTCTGTACACATAATGCAAATTGGCCTTGCTCAGTATGTGGTGAAATAAACATGCAGGATGCTGGTGAAATTTGCTCTTGGAGAATCACTCATGCTTTAAATGCTAATGAAGCACACAGCATAAATCTGCTATTTGAGAAATAGTTTTTTTCTGTTGCTTTTTTCTTGAAATTTTTGTTCTCCACTAAGCTTTGCATACTTTTTTGATTTTGCTCAAATTTTGTGTTGCACAGCTAATTCTATTCATACTTCACGAATCTTTACTGTTATTTTAATATTTCTAATGTAATACCTAATTAAGTTAGGCTTTAATTAAATTTGTTCGTGCTGTTGTATTTCTGGTACTTCTTTGTTACAGCGGCCCCTGAGAATGAATTGCCAATCAACCAAGATATCTATCAAAATCTAGCTGCATATTCTTATACCTTAGAATTCCCAATAGGGTGTTATGTGTTGCCATACATTTTTCTATTTTTTTCACTCTTTTCTCAGTTCATCATATCAACATTCAGTTTTTTTCTTAGTAATATACGTACACAACTTTTTTGTCTTTTTGTTATTAATTTTTTCTTGTGTTAACTTTATTTATTAAGCATTACTTATGCCACATTATATTTAACAGCAAAATCACAAAATTCTCAATAGAGTGTTAAGTGTTGCCATACTTTTTTATATTCACTATATTATTTCTTTTAAAATAATACAGGACAATAGCATTTGGTTGCAATATCCTTTTATTTGAAAAGTGATATAGACATGAATGCAATACAGACAAAAGATCTGGTGCTAAAATGCTAAAAAGAAGATAATGATCATATTCCATTTTTCTTTTCAGTATTATAGACATTAACATTTGTTTTTTTAATTCTTCTCAGTTATTATGTGTGTTATTCAGCAAGTTTTTTTTTTTTTTTTTTTTTTTTTTTTTTTTTTTTTTTTTTTTTTTTTTTTTTTTTTTTTTTTTTTTTTTTTTTTTTTTTTTTTTTTTTTTTTTAAGCTAAAGATTTCTTTTAGAATGAACTCTCCAACAAAGGAAGCAAACTAGATTGTTTTGAAAAACAGAATAAGCCTCATTTAAGAGAAAAACCTATTAACTTACTCAATTAAGAGTAGATTAAGAGAAACTAATGCAAGACTAGAATAGAATAACTCGGTTAAGAAAAAAGTATTTATGTTAAATAGAAAGAGTTATGAGATAAATAGAATTTAAAATCTGCTTTCAAGGCTTTTTATTCTTCTTCCAGAGGATGAGAAAAAAGTGATTTAGTGTTCAAGAAAATCATAATTAGGGTGAAATATTTTTTGAGATATTGATAAAAAGGTTTGGGTTTGGGAAAGTTTTTTTTTTGGGGGGGGTAATGCTGTAATATTCTACAGCAGTGACTAAATTTGATCTGGAAATAATTGGATTGTGGATTTACAGTGGTTTCTAAAAGTAATAAGTAGTTTTAGAAATTTTATTGGCATGTTGTTAGGGTTGTAGTATTTAACACTGTCCAAGAAATGTGAGGTTAGCGGTCCTTTGGATAAAAGGGAAGGAAATGAGATGATGCAAGAGTGATCTTAACTTTAGATGTGTAAGAAGCTGAAGCATGTTAAGATATAGAATAGTATAAAACTTCGTGTAGGACAGTATGTGGCTTCATTTAAGCATTCTGATACTCTGTCAGTTTGTGTGTACATTAAAACTGATGATTTAACTACTTTTGCCATTTCGATTAATATTTGGACAGCACTGGATTTCATACAAGGCCATTTTTCTTTTGGATTAAGATTAGAATTTAATGATTTATTATTGAGGTTAACATAGAGAATAATTAAAAGATTTCTTTCTAAGAATTTTCTGAAAGGGAAATGAATTTCTCTGAAATAGATCAGTTAATTTAAGTGTTTGTAAAAAATTAAAAATTATATTTAAATACATTTTTTGGTAAATAAATATTTTCAAGTGTTAATAATGCAATGAAGAAATGGAAATGTAAATTTTTGAATAATGTTGAATTGCATACAAAAGATAATGCTTGCGTTAAACTTGATTGAAATTGGGAATGATATTCTGTGATTTGAGTAACACGAATGAAATTAGGAGTGATATTTTATCATTTACATTCAAGCAGAAATTAGAGATGGATAGAAAATTTCATACATTTATATATATTATGTATTATACATTTATATAGGTATTAATTATGTATAAATACACTCATGTTGAAGAAATAAGCCACAAAGGCAAAACATGGAATAAAACAAAAACTATTTAATGCATATATGGTGGAATTGATCCAAGAGGTTGGTGTGGCATTACTAGACGACATAGCAAACATACAAAAACTCATGTATTATGACCACCACATCACGAAAGACCAAATGAGTCAGAAGAATGTACAATGGAAGCATCACACAGGTGTCTGAAATGCATGCTTGGCAACAGCGAGGCAAGCTTATCAGGATTTGTGTTTCTCTTGATTTGCTTTGGAAACATGATGTGTCCTGAATAGGAACAGGGAGCTTACTCAAGCTATGTTCAAATATGTATGGAATGGACAACACCAGCAGGAAGGGTTGACTTTACCCTTTATTCTCTATAAGATTACAGGTGCTCCTGCTCTTTGGGATACAGAGACCAAGTGGTCTGAACGTAAAACTATAAAACTACTAAACTAAAATTTTAAATAAGAGCTAACTTTGAATTAGTTTACAAATGCCTAGCACTTAGACTTGGCCTTTTAAATTATTACGTAGGTAGTATGCAAATTGCCGAATTTACAATACATTTTAAAATATCAAGAGGACTAAACCTCTGGCCTTAAAGGCAAACAGCAGCTGATTGAAAACTCGCGTGTAATGCAGTGGCAAGGCGGCTCACTTCCCCCCTATCTCTCTAACTCTTGGCTAAAAGCCACAACTTAAATACTTGGGCGTTAGCAAGTACAATTTGCATAAACAAGTTAACACCTTTAATTCTGGCCGGAAGTGGAAAATAAGAAGTGATAGTAAAGTTTTAAAATAAAATAAACGTTAGTAAAACTTAAGATCCTTACAAGCTGGCAATAGTGTTGTTGATCTCTTGTTGTGGCAGTAGTGCTCATTTCTGTAGTAATGCATATTGGAGCCCATGGAGGGTGCTTGGTGGCACACTGCGATCTGCTGTCCATCCTCCCAACATGTCCCATGCAAGCTGTATGGGATTCAGATCCATTCGTCTAGCAGGCTATGGAAGGTGTGGAATTGTTTCAATCACCAAGTAACTTTGCACTATAGCTGTATAGAGGTGGGCGTTATTGTCCATAAATATTGCATTGGCACCCAGTGCAGAGATAAAAAGACACGTAAGAGGGTGTAGATTTTCATCATGATATCAGATGGCTGTGACAAAATCACTAGGAATCACATAGAGATTGGTGCAGCTTTTTGTTGCTATCCGAAGTTATACAAGTAAGCCTTCTCCTCTTTAATGGTCTCTTTTAACAATGCTTGGTGCCTGATAGCATGTTCCTGGCTCTGGCCATATCATTGCTCTTCAGAAATCATTCTGGATGTTAAATCAAGACTAATCTGTAAAGAGTACATGGCTCCACTGCTCTGGTGTTCAACTGCAATGTTCACAGTCCCAATTCAGCTGCACTCTGACATGTGATAGGGACAAAGAAACACACACCATAGGTTGTTGGGTTTACAGTACACCTTCATGCAGCCACCATGGCACAGTTTCATGGGATGTGGGCCATACTGATGCAGCACATAGATGCGAAAACAACTGTCATGTTAGTTATCTACAGTGTCTTGCATATAGCAACAGGAAGCGATCGTGTGCTATTGTGATAATCCTGTTACATCCAGACCCACGTTTCTTACAGGGGTTTTGATCATTTTGGTAAAATTTCACAGCCTATTGATGACACTACAATGCACATTCAGTTCTCTTGCAACAGCAGACTGTCTTGAACCAGCTAGCAACATCCAGGCAGCCCTCCAATGCATTTCATCATGCAAAAGGTGTCTACAGCTGATACTTTCCACTTTGGCTGTCTTGGATTACGCATAACTATCGCTGCTTACAAACTGGCATTTATTTCCGACATGCCCATTTTTAAGACACTGGTGTTACTGCAGGATTTTATTTTCTGTTAATTTTCTTTGCCTATTTGCATTTGCCAATACAGCCTCTACCTCATATGCATCTCATATGTATATGTATGTTTTAATTCCTCTCTCTACATTCATATTTTTTCTTTTAGTGTTTGTTGCTTTTATTTTTAGCATGAGTGTAAATCAAGCATTAGAACAGTTAATTTGAAAGAAATGGCATGTTACTAGTGAAATATTTGATGGAACAAGTGTAGCATGAACACCAGGATATATGTTTTATAAACCTAATGATTTACGTGTTTGCCTCCAGACCTTAAAATATCTGTATTTTAATGAGATCAGCCATAACATAACTGAAGTCAAAAGTTATTAGTTTGTTGATCAGTACGTTTCAGAATTAGATTATTTGATTTGGATGTTTTTCTTTCAGATGAATTTAGCTGCTGTTTTGCATAACATATATAGAGTTTCTCATTTAGAAATGCTAATTAATTTTGAGAAATTATGCAGTGTTTTGAGGAACTACAAAATTTCTAAATGAATGAATATGAAATGCATGTACTACATTTTTCTATTTGTTAATCTTTTTCATAACCCTAGTCAAATATTTAATATATACTAAAGTTTTGCATATAAGTATAAAATATTATTATGTATATTTATTTGCTAAACTTGGTAAATGCTTAAACTTGAAAACTTGCATTATTAGTTAAACACTACATTTTGTAAATAATGTTTTATGCTTAATTTACATATTTTTGTCCTTTCTTTAACATATCAGAGTCTTTTCTTACTTATAGGACTGTGGTGTAGATTGTGTTAAATTCCAGAAGTCTGATTTAAATAGCAGATTTACTAAAGCAGTGGTGAAGCGGCCCTACAGTAGCTACCATTCATATGGTGAAACTTACGGTGAGCACAGAAAAAATCTTGAGTTATCAGATGAAGATTTTTTTGAATTAAGTCAGTATGCAGCAGCTATGGGACTGTTTTTTACTGCTTCAGGAATGGATAAGGTAGTTTTATGCTTATATAATTTACATTTTGTGTTTCTGGTTTGACCATTTTTTTTCTTATTTTAAATGTGTATGAGTACTAGAAATTCTTTTAGCATTTTTCAAAATGTTTATTTCTCTAGGCTTAAGAGCCTAGCAGTTCTAAAATGTATTTATAGTCTGCAAATAAAAGATTGAGAATGTGGCAGTTTTTGTTCAACATACTGACTGTTGTACCAACAAAAGATGTCATAGCATTTGAGTGACCATATCAGAGATTTTTGTTATTTTGCTTCGTGATCAGTACGTTAATACCTTTTTTAGCAGTTTCTGAGTCAAAGCCATCCAACATATACAGATAGAAATAAATTTCACTTAGCTTTTTCTGCAAGTTTAGTCTATAGATTAATTGTTAAATTTGCCATTTAAATTTTTCAGGCCATTGTGAAGAGAAATATACGATGAAGTGCTTGTCAAGGCTCATTAATCAGGTTGTAAGTAAATTAATTTTATAAATTAGTGACATGGTCAATCTAAATTAGCTTCATTGATCATTGGTAATCAACATGAACAGTACATTACTACATATAAATGTAGATAACACAAGAATATAAGGTTATTGCAAAAGGATTTATAAAAAGAGCACAGTGTAAAATGTTGCAATGATTGTATGCAAGGATATGCAATTTCTCCCAGCATTCCTTGTGTGATATAGGCAGTGACTGCATGGTATACATGTCTCAGTAGACAGAACGGCTATATTTGCAGTGGAGAAGACATTTTATATTTTAGAACATGGGAAAAGACTCTTTTGTCCACACTTCTGAAAATTTCCTCGAGGCTGGAATTCTATTGGTGATTCTTTCAAGACATTAAAAAATATAGGCTGTTTTAGCAGTGGTAAAGGTAACTTATCTATCTGAACAAGCTGAATGTATTGGTTGTATTTTCAACAAAGTTAATGGAACTCAATAATGTGGGTGAATCTGAAACTTCAAATTCCATAGCTTGTAATTCAGGCAATTTTGATAAAATTGGCCAAAATGCATTTCATACTGATCACAAGTATTGGATCACTTGTCTAAGACAGCATAAGTTGGATTTGGCAAGAAGTGAATTGTAAAGTAGAATTTGCTGTGTGACTGATGCTGATGCAAAGAGTATTGATACCTTGTTGTAATAAACTTAGGCATAAAAATAGACAAAAAATAGCAGACAACATTTTGTACTGTGTTTTTAAAAGCTATTGAAATTATGCTTCTTTTATAACCCTGTCATTATGAACACTTAAGCACCATGTTATTGGTGACACTTTTAAGCATTATGTAATTGGTAGTACCTAACAAATGAATTTGTTGGGCTGATAACATTCATTTGTGTAGAATGATGAACTGGTACATATCAATCTTAGCAGATGAAAATGTTGCAAGTTGCCTTTTTGATTATCATCAGACCTCAACAGTAATACACTCAATTTCCACTTGATTTCTGAGCCAAAGGGCACATGGATTTAGATATGGTGGCAACAAAATATGAATGGACAATTAGTCAATTTAGCATCCACAAATTACTGTCATTGTGTGAGTATCGCACCACTTCTGAAGTGGCATGTCTTTCTACATAAGCATGATCATGAGAAAGTTGTCCATGTATTTTACAGGTCTAAATAAAAAGTTCTAAATTATGAGTGAAATAGCTGGCAGATATTGCGTAATTTTTTATCTAGTTTACCCCTTTTTTTAAATAAAAATAAGCTAATTAAAAAGGAAAAAAAATATTCAACCTATTCATTATAGATGTGAGTTAATTTATGTTCAGTAACTGCAGGGGTATTCTTGCATGCTGTGAGTTTTTTGTTAGCCCTGGTATGGCAATTCTTTTGAGTTCAAATTTTGCAGACACAGAGCTGATATAGCATATTTTTAAAAGTCTAATCACTGCAAATCAAGGAACTGTAGTTAAGCATATATCTATTATTACCAGATTAAGCTGAGCTAATAAAAGCCACTGGTTGTTGAATGAAAACTGGTAGTATGAAACATTTTAAGTGAGAGTGGTAGTTTCATAAACTGTTAGTTTTTAGATTATCAGTTTCTGTTATCCATCAGCTATTGAGATAATTAGATAGGCAGAATATATTAAAAAAAAGCAGAGTAAAAATAAGTGCAAAAAATTAATTTAAAATAGGCCATTTGACTTAATAAGCAAATAAAATATGCTTATTAAGTCATTATAGTAACAACAAGTTAAAATACTGTTTTTAAGAATGCAGTATCATATTGTCAAATAAAGCCACCTAGAAAAACATTTTCCATCAAAAATCTCATTGCAAGACTAACATACAGCATTTGGTAACATTTAAATACAGTGTACCATCAATTATCTGGGCTAGTGCTATGGAAGTAGGTCATGGATAATTGAAAAACACAGATAATCCAAACTATAAGTTTTCATGCATATTGTATGTGTTTATTTCTTTAAAGAAATCAGCAGTTTTATTTTTCTTTTGAAAACATTTATGTAATTGCTGAATTTTACTACGTATTTTTTGAAGTGGTATTTTATCATCGTATTTGATTCCCCTTTGGTTGACAAACAGATCTTGGGAAATGTCAAGGCATAAATGATAGGGATACAAACAAACAAAGCTCAGGGGACTAATTCTGACTTCCTATAAGAAAGACTGAGACTTTCTTTCTTATAGATATAAAACTTTTCTTTATTTCTTATAATAGTACATTTATTAAGTATCTTACTGTAAATTATTCTTTTTTTTGGCCAGCCTTCCATTGACTTCTTGAATAAACTGAATGTTCCATTCTTTAAAATTGGATCTGCTGATTGTACTAATTTGCCTCTGCTTTATCATGCATCTAAGTATCAGAAACCTCTCGTTGTTTCAACTGGAATGACAAATCAAGCAGCTGTATGCAAAATGTATAATGAAGTCTTGGAAGTCAACAAATATTTAGCTATACTTCAGTGTACAAGTTGTTATCCTACACCTCCTAGCAATATACATTTAAATGTGATAAAGGTAAAACAAGTTTTTATAAGTTACTATATTTCATTTTATTATTTTAGTCCAGTGTCATACTTTGGTAATGATATGTTAATACATGTCTTGGATTTTAGATTGAAATGTTTAGCAGTTTCTCTGGGAATTATAATTTTGCATTTCAATTTGGCATGCATGAGTTTAATGTATGCAAATTTAAATGTTTTCTAGTTAACCTTCATAATTTTACTAATTCAAGCATAGTTGTGCTTTTTTTCTTATTTGATTGCATTATTAAGTAATAATGCATACTTAATTTGTGTCATAGTACATACTAAATTGATCAGTATTACTAACTTTTAAAAGCATTTTATTTATCATTGGAGTATCATTTTATCAGTGGAATTTAGATATTTATCATGAGAAAAGGTTATCTCACTTCCTAATTGATTATAAAGGGAAAAATTATATGCTTACAGAATTCAGTATTTTTCATGTTAATCATTTGTAATGAATATTTATGACTTTTATTATCTTAGGGAATAAGGAAGGGAGAATTTATGATGTCATTCAAAAATTAATAAGAGGCCTTTCAGTACTTCATTGACTATAGCAGCAAAAGACTGGTAATAATGTAGACATGTGTATTATAAATATGAACTAGGTTTCTGTAAGAACTCCTCCCATCTCTTCTCTGGTAGTCCCTCTATAGTTTCCCAAGCTGTTCCGATTGGTAAAGTGGTTAGCAATGCTGTCTGCATATCACTGGGCTGGGGTTTGAATTCCAGTAGCATTAATTTAATATAATTAGAGTTCTAATTATGTAATAAAATTATATGGAAATGAAGCATATATCTTCTCACTATTTTTGTTTTATAATATCTAATTTCCATGTTTGGCGATTCTTTTTATGCTGCTTGGAAAAATTTCATTAGGCCAACTGAACTGGCAGTTGCAAAATATATCATATATTAGGGAATATTGCTTACATGTGATTTAATATGATTTGTATTGGTAAAATATATTTTAAAATGAGTAAAAACAATATTGCGTCTATTTTAATCATACTACATTGATGAATTTCTTTATATTAAAAATCATGCAAGGGAAATAGTATGCCATTGTGGTAAAAGTGATCACTATTTTCAGAATATCATTTATGCTGTTGCTGTTTTAACAAAAGAACTTAATATTTTAGAAGGTAGTAATCCAGGCTACCCACAATATTTTAGAAGGTAGTAATCCAGGCTACCCACTTACTGTGATCAATATCAAGCATAATTTTTTCAGACTTCTATTTTCTTGAACATTAAATCACAACTAAAGCCATTTCTGCTACTACCATTTATTTGCCTTTCATCTGTAAACTCAAAATGTTTTAAACATCTGAATGTTTCAAACATTATGGTTTTGGCTATTCTTTTAAAACCAGTTAACCAACTGAAACTCTCACGTGTTGAGAGATTTTCAGACTTCTATTTTCTTGAACATTAAATCATACAACTAAAGCCATTTCTGCTACTACCATTTATTTGCCTTTCATCTGTAAACTCAAAATGTTTCAAACATTATGGTTTTGGCTATTCTTTTAAAACCAGTTAACCAACTGAAACTCTCACGTGTTGAGAGATGTAATACTGAACCTTCATTCATAGGGAATTTATAAAATTCCTGTGAATATGGCTTGCATGTATAGGACAAACCTACGGATCTCTAAAAATTAGGGTATAAGCACAACTCATCTGATATTTTAAAAAAGGGGGGGGATTTAGAAAGAAATTCTCTTTGCTGGCATTACATTGTTAGGCTAAAAATCACTATATTCAATTTTCAAAGGTAAAATTACTGCCAAAATTAATTTGCGTCTTAATTGGATTTTTTAGAAACTTCCAAAATTTTCTTTCTGTTCTATTTTTGTCCAAGGTATAAAAATACTTTTCTGAACTCCACTTCTTTCTCTCAACCAATCATTCCAACTTCCATTCATAGTACTGATACTCCAGGAGGAATCTGAAAAAGGTGGGCAAAACTTTATAGGGTAATAGAATGCAGCTATACGAGCAATATTCCCTACAGAATGTGTGGTCAGCACGCAAGCGATGAGAAGCTAAAAGGTTGATTTTACTGTCACATTTAAGGAATTAATACAAGATTGAGAGGAGATACTTCAATAAACATTTTATTAACAGAGATGTAGTTAATGTATATACTGGAAGAAATTGCTCAAAAGACATTCTGCCAGCTGCAATGCAGGGTTGACACCTGTGTGACAGGGAGTGACGCACATTTGCAAAGACACCAGGCATTTCCCGAGTATCGCCGGCAACAACAGTGATCCTGGTACCTACATCCATATTGATTTCAACAGGGCATTCATAGATTAGGCTTTTCATGTGGTCCCACAGGAAAAGTAAAAAAACATGAGAGATCTGGTGATGTTGGCGGCTAATCTATGGGTTCACCTGAACTAATCCATTGCCCTGGAAATTTCATGCTTTGTATAACCAGCTATCTTCTTGGCAATCTATGGTAGGAAATGTCATTAGGTGTGAACACACCTTTTTTATAGCATTTACAGTACGACTTAGTAACTCTCTTTTATCTTTCCGTCTAGACTTTCTATGAAAAATATTGCTTTTATAGCTATGTTCTAACACCCTGTAAAGTTTTGTGCACTTTTTCAAATTTAACCTGTATAATTTCCTCTGAAATTCTAGGAGTAAGAGCTAGACTGTGCTGAGTTATGATGAAACTGCTGTCGGCAACAATTTTTTTTTTTTTTTTTAGATTTAATGATTTGTTTACTAAATTACTGGATAATAAATTAATAAATTATTTATTTGTATGTAGATTATTCATTGATATTTTAAGTTTGTAAGAACTTATTAGAAAGCAAAAATCAAGGATATTGAACCAAAGAAATTAATTGCATTGGAATTTAACCTTTGGAGATAGTATTAGCTATATTATTATAAAATTATCATCAGTTTTGGTAAAGTTAAGCCTAATTTTAGCATTAAGTATTTTCGTTTCTTTTCCCATCTGTAACCGTATGAATATTGAATAAATGTTCAGGTATCCTATGCTTTTTAAATATGATATATATATGTAAGATAATTTTGCCTGTGAGTTGAGTTAAAAAGTTTTTCCAGAAGTTAAAACTTTTTTAAATTCATCATTTTTAAATCCTCATAAAACTGCAAAATGCAGAAAGTATAAATAATAATTACATATTTTAATGCTGCTTCTTTTTATATAAAGGTTACAGAAATAAACAGCCCTGTGAATTTTTGCTTCTTGCATGTTAAATTCAAGAATCAATTCTGTTATTTGCATGAGAATGTTGTGGGCACTCATATTTTATTCCCAGCTTCTGTGAAATGTAAGTTACTTTCAAAGGCACTATTGTATGCATATTTTGTGTGCGTAAATGCAAAATCTGATTATTTTTATACTCTTTCAGCTATTTTTCATACTATTTAGTGGTCTGTTCTTTTATATGTAATTTTAGTTGTTGTTTTCAATTATTTTTATTAACACTAGCTGTTTTGTGATTACAAATTTTTGTTTTTAGACCTATAAGGAATTATTTCCACGTGCTGTTATTGGATACTCTGGTCATGAAGTTGGACTTGGAATAAGTCTTGCAGCTGTAACTCTAGGAGCAAAGGTGATGTTTTTTAAAGGGTTTGTTAAAAACCCAGGAACTTTTGATAAATAATATGACTTATCTTTAGAACATCTTTATCATTCTTTTGTGTAACTGCACCCATTGTCTGTTATATATATTGTATAACAGATAATGTCTACCATTACCAAAGAGAATGCAAAACATTATTATTATTATTCAGAAGAATACTTATTATACTGTTGAATAATTTGTATTGAGTATGTGTTGATGGTAGGCATTTTCAACTTTTGAAAGATTATTCAGTCGTAGAATGATTGCACCATTTATAGTTCTGGAGACTTTTAATTTTGGAAATCTAATGCAAAATTCAATTTCTTGTTTATATATACCCGAATTCCATATATCTGAATAAAAATGAATGTTAAAAATTGGTTGGTTCTTACATTTATTTATATCATATATTTTCTGTTGGATTGTTAGCATTTGTTAAACTTATTTGGTATACTACTGAATTATATCATTTCATCATATTAGTATTCATAGTAATCAATATCACATATAATTTAATAGTTATGTTATATCAAGACAACAATACAGAGAAATTGAACTAGTTCTTGTGAATTCTTTCTGCTAGGATTTCAGCATACCATGCTTATGACATATTTCATATACTAATTTGTGTAATTCAAATTTAAGAGAATAAATGATTGTATGAAACAAATTCATGTGTATAATGTTTCGTAGTGAATAGGACATTTACATGCAAGAGTTATATAAGTAATGAATGCTAAAATTTATTCTTTTATCTTAAAACTTATTAAATTTACAAAATTATTTTGATATTTTCTACATATAATATGTAAAGTTTATAATTATGTTTCTTTAAAACAGATGAGACATATTTATCCTTTGAATATGAACAAATTGTTTTTTCATATAAACATACAGTTTCACTATAAGACATTCACAAATTAAATAATTCATATTATTTGAATTAAGGATCTGAATCATTGATTATGAAACCCATCTGAAATGTGAGTTGGATTTCGCAACCTTTGAACAGGAATGAGCCATATAAGCTGAATTACTTTGTATTTGCCTGGTGTCTTTATTGCATGTTTATGGCGTAAAGTGTTATTATATAACACATTAAGTGAAAACTAGTGTCTGATATTTGTTAATATACGTGTACTATGAAAATCTTTCTTGTTTGTTGCCTGCTAGTGGTTAATTGGATAATGAATCTGGTATACCCAAGTGTGGATAAAAGCAACAGAAAGACTGGCTATGTGAGTTTTTTATGATCATTTTAATAAAAATATGAGCCAGTTTCCCTTAAAGAGATTTTTTGCAAGCATCTTTTGTAAGGTAGATATGCCAAAAGTGCTCATGATTATAAATACATTTATCTAGTGTACTCTCATTTACAAATTAGGTTAAAATAATGAAATATAAGAGATTCAGTAATGTAAATTCATGCAACCTCTTCTATTCTTCTTTCATTAATTACTGTACTGTACTGCCAAATTAAAATAAAATTTCCTGGTCTTGGTAATTTTCTCTCATGAGACAGATTCTTGAATTTTACTGTAGTTCTGCTTACAGTGTACTTTTAAAGATGTAAACCTATTTTTATATAACTAATTTTTATCTTTCATCATCATTATTAATGGATATAGGTAACTCATTGAATGTCATATAATGTGATCTATCAAATTGTAATATAAATTGAGCTTTATATTCCCCCCAAAAGCAATCAATCTGCTGATGTAAGAAAAATTTCAAATCTAATTGAATAGGAAAAGTTATGACACTGTTAGAAGTCTGGCGTTAAATTCCTTTATAACCAAGGAATTAATTCTCTAAAAAATGTACTATATATTGAATAACTTAGGTCAAAGTGTTTGGTATGTCATCTAAAAGAGATTAAAAAATTAACCAATTGATTACAAACAGTGTGGTTTTGTTTAGTCTTGTCTTTTGTCTATCTGACTTTTTCATTATAAAAATAAAGGATTGGCTTGAATTATTTCACTAGATGAGAGCTGCCTGCCAAAGCATCATCTCAGTTTTATCCAAATCACATTCTGAGAGGGGGTTATACTGTTCTTTTCCTGCTACTATTCTGTCCAGAGGAATTTCAAATTGACGAATGCTCTATTATTAAACGAAGGTACTGAAGTCATAAATATCTATGTTTTGTTCTGGAAGAGAATCTAGGTGTAACAGTGCATGCAGTTGGCCTTCATTAATTCTCAGTACCTGGATGGGTATCAAAGCAAAAATACACTTTTAATTGGCAATGTTATTTAACAAATTTAGTGCAATATGTTCATGGATATACATTTTTCAATATATTACATGCAGAGCATTCCTCTGTTACTTATTCTTGGCATGTTAAGCCAACTTAAAGCATTTTAAAGTGTTTTAGATGTATTGATAAACAGTTAATAATTTTTTTTTTTGTTTTTGTTTAATGGTCCATAAGACCCCATACATTTCAGAGTACTGTAACAAATAGTATGGGTATTTTCAATTGAAATGTTTTTTGCAATTTTCAAAATTTAAAAAAAAATTCTGCAATCCATTTTAACCCTCTGGCTGATCATCCCGTGATTTCCACGGGCAACTCAAATGTAGCAAAATTTGCTCATCCCGCGATTTCCGCGGGCATATGTTTTTCTTTCTTTATTGAGGAGCGCATCCCGTTTTTTCCCTGTTTAACCATTGAAAGAAATTATATACAGTATTAGGTGTTTAGTTTACGTGTTGGCCAACAGATATCGTTAGTTGTCCACTAAATTGTGGCATTCGAAGGCACGTGATATTAGCGCTCAAACTTCACTGTTTGCCGCTTTTTTTTACAGAAATGGCTACTAGAAAACGTTCAGCGATATTTTTTAATTATTTAATTAAATTTTGAAATATTGATTAGATTTTAATATTATTGATTATTAATTAGATTTATTGAATCTGGTGCAAAGACTGTGAAGTTTGAACTCTGTCATACTAAACTGCATTTTTAAGGTATTTTTTCCTCAGCGCTTTATATTTTCTTAAATTTTATACATTTTATATTATGCAATAAATAGAAATTAACTGTAATTCGACTGAAATTTATTTAAAAAAAGATTTTTTTTGTGATAACATTTGAAATTAGTTTTTCTGGCAACTTAGTTTCTCCTGATAAAAATCTATATAAAAAATATTTTCTAGAAAGAAAAGTGCATTTTTCAATTCTGCTATATATATATATATAGATTTAAAATATGAAAAAAAAATCAATTTTGGAAGCGATTTCGGTCTACAAATTGAGCAGTCAGAGGGTTAAGTTATTAGGACAAGGAAACACTCCTTTGTTTAATAGTATTTTTTATCCCTCCCTCCCCAATATTTCTGTTCTCTAACCAAAAGCTATTCAAGGCAGATGTAACACTTATTTCTTGGAAAAACAGGACACATAAGAAGCATTTCTCAGTCAAACATACTGTGTCACAGGAATGATTATTCCAAATTTTAAACTTGTATTTTAGAGGGGAAGAAGTATTTAAAGGGAATGGTCTGAATTATGACTTTTATGATAAATGAAAAATTATTAACATATTGTGAATTGAGGGAAAAATGAATAAATAAAAATAAAAGTGAATTTAATAACTGCTAATAATAATTGTAATTTATACTTAACATGTTTTTTAATTAGTTGTTATTTTTTTGTAAATGTGCCAATGCTAATCAGTTTTCTTATAACTCATAAATAAATTTTTACACTTATTTGTGAGACAACTATGTTTCCTTATCAGTTTGGATATAGTGAATTCCCGGATATAGTGAACTAAACTTTTGATATCTTGCGGGAGGTTTATTAAGGATATTAGAAACATAGTGTATGCAAATTTAGGGAAATGAAATCACAGAAGTAATTGACTAATAATCTAATCTCCTTGACTAATGATGAACAGTTCCCAACTAACATAGTATTTACAGCCATGAAGCAAGCAAAGAAATATGAATCTGAGGGTTCACCAGTAAGTTGGAGTTCACCCTTAAGGTTCCTTAGTCATCATTTGCAGTAAAATGTGGATAATATATATAATAATGTTTAGTGGAAGCAGTATATTTAAGGTATTTAATTATAACTTTAACATATGAACATTCTAAACATATTTAATTATGTTCAGTGAAAAATCAGGTATATGTACCATAATTTCAGACAGATAAGCCACCTTGGCATGTATGCCGTACACATGATAATTGCCTAAAAGCATGAAAGTTCATTGGATAAGTCTTACTACTGTATATGCTGCAGCAAAGCATTCCAAAACACGTCACTTAATATTCATTTATTCAGTAATACCCTGCCATATTGATGTAATCATCATTGATAGCATTTTATAACATTTAAAACATAAATATAATCAGTAATAGTTAAATAAATAAGGAACAAACATCTTACCACCAAAAACGAATTCTGATGATTTCTAATAGGTATTATTTTTACGATTTTGGTAAACTTTGTTTATTACCATGAATTACTATATTATGAAAATGAATACATAGATTAGATAATCAAAGCGAATTTTATAATTAAATTAAACTACATTTATTTATACAAAACCTTCGAAATCTGACTCGTCAATGTCAGAATTAAATAAATTTAACAAATGACCATCAAGATCGATTTCATTATTCTGTTCTAAATCACTCCTTTCAACATCAATGTCTTCACTTTCATTTTCCTTTTTGATGATTTCTGATTTAATGAAAGCTGATGATCATATCATCTCGGACTGATTGCCATGCTTTATCAGCCCATTAAGGCAGCCTTCTCATGTGAAGCTTTTCTCATTCATCCAGAATTTGTGAAGGAATGGAGTTCACTTTGCATCCATTCCTCCCTCTGCTTTTGTAGTTTGTGCTTGAAAATTCTATTGATGGCGAGATCCAGCAGCTGTAAAATTTTTGTAAGCGTCCTTGGTATCACTGAGGCATAGGTGTTAAGTTTTTTGCTTCAGATTTTATCTTATGTGCTAAATGGCATTGCATTGAATCCAGAACACCAAGGGGTGTTTGGAAAAAACACCTTTCTTTTTTGATAAATCTCTTTCAGCCAAAACAAAATGATTTCTTCACACATCCATCCTTTTTCGTTGGTCCTTTAGGGAAGTTTCCTTTTGAACTGTTTTTCTTTTGGAAATTATCAAAGGGATTAACTTCTTTCCATTGCTGGCACAACACAAAACACAAGTAAAAGAAGTCTTTTCATTCCCGGTTTTTAACACAGAAATAGTATTTTCACCTGTTGAATGAACAGTTCTGCTCAGAGGACAGTCAAAAGTAACAGGCACTTCATCCGTATTAATTGTTTGCCCTCTTCAAATTTTGGCTTTTAATTTTCTTAGACATGTACTCCAAAAAAGCTATCTTTTTTTTTTTTTTCCAAGCCAGTCCATGGGAAGTTTTTGTTGAACTGTTATTTTGGTCCTGACAGGTAATTTCTTTTGCTTCATGAACCTGAAACACCAATTAGGTCCTCCAACAAAATGTTTAATGCCCATTTATTGAGCAAGTACTTTTACTTGAAGACGGATTCTAACTGTTGACACTGATAATCCATTTCTTTCTGCTGTATTGTCCATTTCTGTAAATTGTCTACCAAAACAGGTCAGAGTATATCATCTTTTATTCTTAGCCATTTTCTCTAATTTTTTGTTCAGACCTCCATCGCGAAATGCATTGCTAGTCAACTTGAAATTCGTTAGCCTCAGCATGGATTCCAATTTCTATGACTTTCTTCACTGCCGAAATCTTAAATGCAGTTGTATAGATTTTTCTTTGCGTAGGAGCTATAATGATAATAATTTTAAAGCACGAATTATAATTTAAGCAATAAGCAAGCTACAAAGCAATAAAAACATTAAGAATGAGCACGGCACTTGGCAAGTAAACATTGCTGTTGCCATTAAAAAAGGGAATAGTCATTGGAAATTGCAGGAAAAACCATGGAGTTCAGCAGAAAGTATATGCATTATGGTATCTACACAAAGTGCCACCTACCATAGTTAGGCGAATTTGAACTTATTGCACTGCCTTAGTGCAATCTGAGTGCTCTTATCAGGTTAAAATTGTCCGAACCATTAATGCAGGGAATTCTGCATTAATGGTTTCGGTTATCCATAACTTACCATCTAAATTAGTGAAGTTTTAAAGACAGAGGAAAAATAAAATTCCTTCAGATATGCTGCAGTCCTAAAGTTTCAACTTTAAATGCGTATAAGCTGCAGTTTATCTAAGTGAAATTATGGTGCATAATTGTTTATGATACTATTTAAAATGTGTTTGAAATTTTTCAATAATGCAATTATGTTAAGTTATAGGATTAAAAATGAACTGCCATATGTGAAAAAGTTTGATTTCCTTTCATTGAAATAATGAAATCTATTATGTATTATATATATATTATGCAGTGTTTAAATACATGGAATTGTGAGGTTTTTGTGTTCAGGTTGTTTATGTTATCTTTTATTTTTCTTTTCTTTAAAGATCATAGAAAGACACATAACACTTGATCACTCTTTGAAGGGAAGTGATCACATTGCGTCGTTAGAGCCAATGGAATTACGAAATCTGGTGTGTGAAATTAGAAGGGTAGAAGAGGCCATGGGTAAATGTTCAAAACAAATTCAGGATTGTGAATTACCATGCTGTAAAAAGGTATATAAATTTTAAGTGGTCTTTGTGTACTTATTTCAGAATAATTTTTTTTTTTAAGTTTTAAGTTTTTAGATCTGGCTTAATAAATAAGGACTGAAAATACTTATATAAACTTGAATGTATAAACAAATACTCATCTTAAGTATTTTAACAGCTTAAGTTTACTTTTAAGTTCAATAAAAGATTCTGTTTCAGAGCTTCTACTGAGTTCATCTGCACTGATAATGAAAAATAAATGGTGCAGATAAACTTATACAGAATGCATAATGCTGCTTGTACATATCACTGGTTGCATCAACCACTGCATGCATAAAGTGGGAGTTTATACGACTGCTACCATCTTCAGAACAGCAAGTTTAGTGATTTAAGTGATTTTTAATGCAACCTCACAGTTGGAGTTCTGGAAATGGCTAGCTGCATTTTCGAACATGTGAAGTTTGGTTAAATGCATTGTAGTGCTTTCGGTGACCATCACTGGCATGTCCACAGTGGGTTTAGAATATGATAGACCATCTGTAGAAGCTTCTGGAGTTGCCTCCAGCCTGAGAACAACAGCAAGTTTTTTATGTAATCTAACAGTTGGAATTCGCGAAATGCATTTTTGAAGATGATGTGAATTTTGGTTAAATGCATAGTAGTGCTCTTTGTGAAGATCATTTTTGTGTCCACAATGGGTATATAAAGTGATAGGCATCTATGGAAGCTACTGGAGTTTCTTATATTTTGAGAACAGCAAGCTTTTATGATTTAAGTAATGTTTAATGTGGTATAATTGTTGGAACTTTTTAGTTCACCATAGCATTCTAGGGATGTAAGTTTTAATTTTGGCATATGATGATTCTAAAAGTATAGTGTGACTGCAAAGAGCTCCAACAAAACATTGAATTATCGTAACTGTGATACAGTAAGAAGGCTGTATGAACAGGACTGGCTTCAGCTGAGAATAATAATTTTGTGTGATAGAGGTACAGCACTACAACAAATAACATTGGAATTCAATGCTTAGCATTTCATAAACACCAGCATTAGGACTGTGAACTCTTCCCATCATTTTATGGGCATTTGGCACTAAATCATAGTATCCATGATGAATGCAGGTTGCCTGGGTATGGCAGTTCTGACATGGGATACATGATGAATAGAAATGAATAAGCCTGGTCTGTTCAGTCCTATTCCTGACTATTTTGTGCGTAACTGAATCCATAGAGGGAAACTCCATAAATCCGTGGATCTTGCATGTCAAAAACAGATTATGCAATCTGTGATGGTTCCATCTCTAATGGCACGGGATTTGAATGTAATTCAGTAGGATCCATTGTATGTCTGTCTGTGTCTCTAATAGTTAACCCTATGTGTGCATTATTTGTGATAGATCATGCTTGTTTATACATATATTCATTCTGACGTGTGAGGCTTTTTCTAGCAGGAAAATGTACTGCAAGTCTAAAAGTTGCCAGATTATGGTTAGAAGAAATGCTGATCTGAATTTGGAGTATTGCAGTGATTGCATATATTACTAGATCTCAACATTATTAAGCATATTTTGGGTGCCAGCAGCATGCTGTGAAATATAAAACTGTTACATTTTCAAGTACTATGTGGGCAAACGGTGTTTTTTGTGTACAGAACTCTACCACATACTCATGAGAACTGTTTTTCTGAAGTTCTACAATCTCATCAAAGCTGCACTAAATATAAAGTTATTGTACCAATATTATATATACTTAAATGTATGTATGTATCTATATGATAAAAATCATAAATATAAAAATTGATAAATATTAATATATAATCACAATAAATAATATTAATAAAATTAATTAATAATAAGTACCGTATTTATGTGAATCTAATGCGCATCCCCATTTTAAAACTTTAAATAATAAAAAAATTGTTTGTCGGCGAATGTAATGTGCATCAATGATATGAGGAATTTATTGAATCTTATTTTATACAACAATGGATTTGTATATAAACTATCAATCAATGGTATGATAATTTTATTTAAATTTAGATACCATATTTTATACAACAATGGATTTATACATAAAGTAACAGAACATAGAATTAACCTATTAGTGGGCTATTGTTATGTGAAACAATCATTGTTAATTACCACTACCGTATATACGGTACATATCGTAAAGTATGAACATGAAATAAATGGTAACATTTCTATCTAGCTAACAGTTTCTACAATCAGTGATTAATAGTAAACGTCTTTATTCACTATTTTGATGATAACTTTTTTAGTCCCCTTCTCCGTAATGGTGTAGTTACGAGGCATATCAAACCAAATTGGCGTCTCGTCAGCATTGCCGATTTGCCCCATTGAAAAATTCTTTTCCTTCCGAAGTGTGATGACATACCGCTAAAATGTTAGTAGTTTTCCCTCAAAATCTGCAGGAAGCTTTTGGCATATTGTTGTACGGCGTCTTAGAAATAAGCCCATTCGCTTCATAAACCGATCCACCCATCGACGGCTAGCTTTAAACTCTCGTTTCGGTATTCCAAGAACTTCAGTCTCTTCTTTTGCTTTATTTCTTATAGTGTCGCTAGTCACAGGTTGTCCATTCTTCCTCCTTTCACGTAAAAATTCCAAAACTTTTTCTTCAATTTTAGGGTGTCTTCCTTTGCAAGGGCCAGTGAATTTCTTTCTACTAGTTTTAGTTGCAAACAGTGCCAATTTCTGTTGCCGCCACAAGTGAACATTGCTCTCAGCTACGTTTAACTCTCTCCCAGCCTTTCTATTGCCATTTCTTTCAGGATAAAGAATTACTTTACATTTGAAAGTAGTGTCATATGACATTCTTCTCAGCTTGTTCTCCATCTCGTGACTACGTACTCTGCAGTTTGTATCCTCTATGCAATAATGTGTCAACGATAAATGTAACGGTAAATGTAGTCGAGAAATACAGTAATCCATGGTTACAATTTAATTCGGTTGACGTCATCGGCGAACTGCTGACGTCATCGCCGAACTTTGCACTCGAATCTAATGCGCACCCCAATTTTGAGTACTACATTTGGCCAAAAACGATGCGCATTAGATTCGCGTAAATACGGTAAGTATAAAAATCACAGTAATGTAAAACTTACAGCTTTTGCATTCAGTGCTCCAAGTCTGGCAAAAATAATTAATTACATAAAATAATAAAAACCCAATTTAAGCATGCTCATTGTTTCTTGGTTTTATGTACAGAATTCAAATTCACAATATGCATAGACTCAGAGTAGAAGAAAATTTTTTCTGCTCTATGTACACTGTGAATTTGAGTTTTGTATAAGTCTTTATTATTTTCTACTACTTGAATTTGATCTTAACTTTATCAGCTTTAGTGTTTCTTTTCAATCTACAGCTTTAGTATTATTATAGTGTATAAAATGCACTATAATAACAGTATAAAATGACTTTTGATTCAATCAAGCATTTATCTCTAAAATGTTCATGACAGTAATGCATTACATTGTGCACTAGATTGATATATATATAACATATTTACTTTTATTTGTTTAAACCATTATCTTTCTTTTCTGTAGACCTCATAATCATTATAATTCTATTCATAATAGGATACTAAATATTTTTGTTTTACACACATACTTGTGAAAGGATTCTTCTTACAAAGGATCAAATTAAAAGTAAAGTAGTTACAGATTTTCTACATGATTTTTATGTTGCCTTTCTATATTCATTCAAAGATGGCTAAATATGTTGTATATTTTGTAGAATAAGGGCTATGTTCTTAGATAACTTTTTCTACACGAAATTTTATTTATTTGAATTGCTTTTGCAATCTGTTAGTTAATTTTAGTTAAATTTTTAAAGTTTTCACCTAAAGTTCTGTTGATTTACACATTTTAATAACATAATTGGCAGGGCCTGTTGAAAATCAATTCTATGATATTTTAAATTTATCTTTTGTAGAAGGCAATGAGAAATGTTATTTAGTTGGCAGTTGAATAAAGATGTGAGCTTATTCTAGCTCCATTTTTATTTAATATATAGCCTAACACAGTAATATTTTTAAACCAGCAAAGTAGAGTTTTATTATTTTAGGACAATTTCACCATACTTTGGCAGTCAAACAGTGGGTTTGTAAATAAAAGTAAGTCCTAATTTCAACTACAGTGTTAGTTTTGTTTCTGATTTGAACTTTGCACTAAGATTATTTACGATCAGTTTTTACCTGAGAATATGATATACTTAGTGATCTGCTAAGCTTGGAAATTAAAGGTAAGGGTGAAATTTTAGCATGTTTTGAATCTTTTACTGTAAAATTTGAAAATCTTAAGTCTATGGATGGCAAGATAACCTGCTTTTCAAAGAAAATGCAACATGATTTTATATTAACTTGCAAGTACTAGGCCAACTTTTGAATACATGTAATTCTAACATCTTTTCATTAAGATAATTTTTTAAAAAATTTATGCTTAGCAGCACACCTTTTACAAAAATATTGTAAATTTTGCTGGCTATTGGCCAATAAAGTTGCTGTGCCATGATAAGAAGCAGTTAGCAGAATCATATTTATTTGATAAATACGTGATAATGGAAAGATGAGCTGATTAGTTTCAGGTAATTTTGAGATACAGAACAAACTGAAATAGCTTAACACAGCAGAGTGAAATAATAATAGCAGCTGACATACAGTTGGGGCATAAAACTAAGCAGATTTTGAATGGCAATTCAGGCATTGGTCCAGGCAACTTCAAATCTGTCTCATAATTTGTGTGTCTGACATGCTAATCTCTCTGCAACCACTGACTGGACATTATCAGTTGATGAGAGACCAGACAAATGCTTCAGGCTAACATAGGAATCAAAAGTCTTCTGTATTGAAAAATGTAGAAATTGTCACATGCTGTCTCACGTTGTCCTACTAAAAGGTGGGATGACAGAGGCTCAGAAGATTGGGCATTAAATCTTCAGTAAGGTAATGGTTTGCTGGTTAGAATACCGTATATGCAGACTAGAGGTGAACAAGATGTGTATTGAATAACTCCTCATACTGTCAGTACATGTGCTGGGCTGGTATAATGAAAAAAAAAAAAAAAAAAAAAAAAAAATGTGCAAGAATCTTAATTTGTAACTCACTTTGTGTGTATTCATGCATGTATATGACCATCATGGTAAGCAAAAGCAGGAATGTCACACCATTTGTGTGTCTAGGTGTGTTATCGAATGCTCCATTGTAAGTGTTGATTCTTGTTCTGTAGCATTCAAGGGAAACCAAGGCCCTTGGATGGTTGCTTTGAAGACATTGCCTCAGCTTATGTGTAGATACTAGGCACTGTCTCTAATGCACCTAGTTTTTTTTTACTAAAGATACATGTTACAGCTATTTATGATCCTTAACAGCAAAGCTATTAACGTGTCTTGTCATGGTGGGCATTGGTAGTTTGGTTTATTTTCTTATGAAGAAGCATTTGAGAACTATCTGCCTAAGGAGAGAGATAGCTTTATGGAGGACTTTCTGAGGGAAACTGGCTCGTATACACTTTATGCATGGGGAAAAAACACGGAAATACCCATGCTGCCAGCCCATTCACGAGGATGAACTGCGAGTGTTTAATGACTTTACTGCTCAGCTGCTGGTGAGCATTGGGCATTGATGAGCAGAAGTCCTTCAGATGTTGCATATTGCTCAAAGGAAGCTGAAGCATTGGTTGTTTTGCTTCCAATCTCCATGACTGCAGATTTCCATGCACTATACATGCAGATACATGGTGAAACCACCCACTTTCCTGAATTGGTCCATAATGTGGTTGTATAATCACTAACAGCACCATAGACATCTGTCATCTCAGACATTCTTGAGAGGGTGCCATTAAGATCCTATTGCCATTAAGAACCTGTATGTAACAAATACGAGGGCTATCCAGAAAGTAGATTACGTTTTGGAATAAAAAAATAAACAAAGTATAGGAAACAAATTTTATTATATACAGATGAAAGCCACACTCAAATACTACTTTTCTACATAGTCACCATACAAATTAAGGCATTTATCGTAGCGATGTACGAGCTTGGAAATTCCTTCGTCGAAAAATTCGGCCGCCTGCGCCTTCAACCACTTCGTTACCTCTTCTTGCAGCTGTGCGTCATCATCAAAACGCTGCATAGCCAGCCACTTCTTCATTGCTGGGAATAGGTGGAAGTCGCTCGGTGCCAGGTCGGGACTGTACGGCGGATGAGGAAACAACTCCCACTTAAAAGATTCAAGAACTTTACGAGTGACATTTGCCGTGTGGGGCCGGGCGTTGTCGTGAATCAACAAGATCTTAGAGCTCAACATTCCTCTGCGCTTGTTTTGAATTGCTCTTCTGAGTTTTTGGAGAGTTTGGCAATACCTTTGAGAGTTTATTGTAGTGCCTCTTTCCAGGAAGTCCACCAAAATTACACCTTTTCTGTCCCAAAAAAACAGTCGCCATCATCTTCCTTGCCGACATTGTTTGCATGCATTTCTTGGGTTTTTGGGGAGAACTTGTGTGCCCCCACTGCATTGATTGCAATTTCGTTTCACAGTTCACATGTTTCACCCATGTTTCGTCACCAGTAACGATGCGATCGAGTAAAGAGTCACCATCCTTATGGTAAGCGTCCAAAAAGTTCAACGCTGCAGCCATTCGCTGATTTTTGTGGTCCTCTGTCAAGATTTTTGGAATCCATCTTGCACAAAACTTGTGGTAACCAAGCTTTTCGCTGATGATTTCGTGCAACAAACTTCGCGAAATTTGTGGAAAACTCAAAGAAAGTTCCGTTATTGTGAAATTTCGATTTTCACGGACTTTAGCATCGACTTTTTCGAGAAGTTCGGCGGTCACTATGCTGGGTCTCCCACTTCGATCTTCGTCGTGAACATTGGTTCGGCCATTTTGAAATCTTATGACCCACTGATGCACTCCACCTTCAGTGATAATGTTGTCCCCATACACTTCACGAAGCTGCCGATAGATTTCTATCGGTTTACAGTTTTTTGCAGTCAGAAACCTTATTACTGAGCGCACCTCGCAGCTCGCGGGATTTTCAATTAACGCAGACATTTCAAACCGTCACAGTATCTGAACGGAGCACAGCACGAACCTCTCATTAGCACGGCTAGATGCAGACTGAGCTGCGCAACGCTCTGACCCCAAGATGGCCGCGCTAGCCCCGCCCCTAGCGGACACAGATGGAAACGTAATCTACTTCCTGGATGGCCCTCGTACAATAGATGAATTTGTAACTAGATGGATACTCCTGTTCATTTATGAATACAAATTATATGATATAAATTATTCTTGAATACTCATGTTTATGATATGAATTATTTGAATTTTATAGTTGTATATATTATACGAATTATTCTTGATGTGGCTTATTATTTTATATTTTCCTTCCATAAATCAATTATTGGAAGACTTAGAGCAATTTGAAATTTTTGAAAGTCTATAAATAACACAGTATCCTTGAATATTGTTATATGTTTTGCATTATTTTAGCTGCATATCTACAATTACTGAATTTTTTGCATATTTAGGAAAGCAGGTTCACTATATATCTTTTTAGAAACCGTAAACATTCAAAATGGCAGAGCCTTTTTTATTCGTTAGAAAGCTAATAGATACATTTGTTGTGTTTGAAAGCAATTTATGTGCTCATATGCATATATTCATTAACTTTCGGCCTACAGTAAAATTTTAATTAATGAGTTATTTAACTGGTAACTTTATGTATTTGAAAAGAAACTCACTACGTTATGCCAAAGTGGCATATTCAAATTTCAACTGGTTTTGTTTTTTACAACGTTTTGTACCTTTTCATTTGAACACTCTTTATATAAGAAGCAAGCACAGCAGAATGATAAAAGATGTTTTCTGCATTTGCTGACCTAGTAATTATATAGGCATATACATACAGTAATGGAAGTTACTAGTAGTGTTCTGAATAATATGAAAACAAATTTATATTTTTCTCTTGTTTTAATGTAATTTCATACTATATATTGTATTTAAAAGCAATATTCTAATTTCCTTAATCTAAACTCTGAATATTTTTATTCCAGTTAGGCAAAACAATTGTTACTTCTAAATATCTCCCATGTGGAACTGTATTAGATGAAGATATGATTGATGTAAAAGTAGCTGAACACAAAGGTTGGGATCCTATAAATTTCTATGAATTGATTGGACGAAAACTGAAACGGGACCTTGAAGAGGAACAGTGTATTTTGCCAGAGGACCTTTTGTGATTTTTGTAGCAGTATGAATTTTAATCGCATGTTTCTGTTTTAAGATGTGGAGTGAGACTTTAATTTGTAAATGTGTATTTTGTGATTGAAATAAATTTAAAATATATCGGTGTGAATTATGAGTTGGTCTGTAAATGTAATCTTTGTTTAAATTCAAACTAGGATTCAATGTAGGACCACATTAAATTAATTAATAAATCTGCAGAAACTTTAGAGTGGGAATTAAAAACCATGTAGGCAGTAGTGAGAAAAGCATTTGAGTTCTGAACAAAATAATTCCTTGAGGAAGCCAAAGTGGATTTTTAGGAATCCATTTTCATTTACTGAAATTGGTGGTTTTTAAAAGTGCACTTTTTTCCAAAAGTTTTAACAGTTTTCCTGATGAGCTTGGGGAATTTATTAATGCATTATGATGTAACATAGTAAACCAAGGTTCTGTTCCTTCTCAAACACATCTTTTAATATTGCTATAATAAATCTTTTTATTCTGTGTTCAGATTTTATTGCATAGTCATAAATAAAATCATTAATAAACATTTACAACTTCATTTGCCTTTGCAGTTAATTCATTTAAACTGTTGCTTGTATGCAGATTTTTGGGGAAATTGTTCTTCTTCATCGAAGATTCACTAGTATCGCCATTTTCTTGTGCCTCACCAGTGGCCGAATATCGGAAGTTCATCCCAGTTTCGAACCAAGGCAAACGAGCTAGCTGCTTGTTTGATTATTGATGATTTTCCTGATGTATACTATGAATAAGAGCTAGTTCCCCGTAGAAATTTCTCCACAAATCACCTCTCCCATTATGTAAATAGCCTTCATGTGCTTTGCCTTATTCAGACAACCATGACGGCTACCTTTTTGTCCATTGAATTAAGTTTGCCATTTTCTTTTTTGCTAATATTTAAATCATGAAAGCTGTTTATCTAACTCTACCAATGACTGATTTATAAATGGTAATGGGTGTAACTCTTGAATGATTTCTTTATTGCAGATGCTCAGTTTTATGTGTTAGTGTTTTCACTTTTTTCCCCTTTCGTCTGTGAACTGGAAACATTACAGTTGAGTGATTTAAGACATTTTCAGGTTATACATTTTTCCGAAATCCATTTACTTAAAATGGGAAATCTACTTCTGACTTATGCAATAAATTTAACTGATAAAGTGATTCTAAAAGTTACAGTTCTGAAAAAAAATACTGTATTCATTCAAAAGCTGGTTTTTGCCTGTAACAGTATAATGGCTATAACATGCAAGGCAGATATTCATTTGCTTTGATGCTTATTTCATCATACGCTGTGAAATGATTATGAAAACTCACCTTATTCAGAATCTAATTTGGCACTTCTAATAAATGCTGGTTAAATTGTAGGAAAGACTGCACAATGACATTTCTTATTTTTCATATTTGCCTTTCAATTTTAGTTTATGTACATGAAATATTTTAAGGGCAGTAGATATGTATTAATCAGATTTTAATGAAAAAAATCACTTTTTTAGGTTCTATTATTATGAACATACATTCTTAAAACTAAAAATATTACATTTATTGTTCTGGTTTTGAACCCTTTCCTGACCTTTTCACGTTTTTGCAATTTTTCTTACTGATTTCACATTGCTGAATATAAATCTAGCATTTATTTTTTTCTGCATAATTCAGTGTACTTTACCTACCAATTTCAAGAGTATAAAAAAATACAAAGGAAATTCTAAAAAGTAGAGCTTCTTCATTTTTTGCCACAAAAGCAATTTTAAAAGTAATTTGACTACAGCATGTGATAGGAAGCAATTTAAAGAATCGACTTTTATTACTTTTTTCTTCTATTTTTTTCTCTAACTTAGATTTCTAGTATAAGATTCCTTTTGATAGCCATCATATTTTGGGATCATTTCCACTGTATGCACTTTCCATAGAATCCACTATATCATAATGAAACCCTTCTCCATGCTCATCTGAACAGATTCTGAATTATGAGCAAAAATCTAAATGGCATTGACAGAAGTGCAACATCAGGGAGATACTCTAACAACTAAGCTATTTACAAGGTGTATAAGAACATTAATGACATTGCTCATGTTGAGCAGGAACTGGTCACGCTGTCCCTTTGTGTGTAGAAGATCAAACAAAATCTGTCTGAACTTCAGAACAAGTTTCTATTTTCTGCCCAGAGCATGTTTTCTATAGATATCTTGTTGCTTTATGTGATAACAGCAAAACATCAGAATTTAGAATAACATTGTGTAAAGTTAAGGGCAAACCTTAGGGAAAATGCAAATGAACTTTTTCAAGAAGTGAAATAGCTGTGTGGAGAGCGGGATTGACAAGAGAAATTTTGGGGAAAAGTTCAGAAGTCCATGAAACCATTGAAGATGAGAGCTGCTTTGAAAGACCTTGCAAGTCTAAAATAGATGAAAATGTGATAATAGAGAAATATTGTGCAATGAGACTTTCAGATGACAAAAATGTTAGTAGTGCAGATAACTCCTGATTTGCAACTGTATCCCTGCCAGTCCACTTTACAATATATTTCACTTGGCTTTTTGTTATTCCTTAAATTCTAACAATTTTTTGTAGCTTTTTTTAATATAATTGTTATTTGCATCAAAAATCCTGATATCTCGCATCTAGAATCGATAGAATGTCTGTTAAAAAAATAAAGTTCATTTCATGAGATATCATGGCATACTGCTGCTATGTGCATGAGAGCTTATGAATCTGTAAATGTAATGTTCCACTTTTCTAATGAACATTAACCCTTTAACTGGTTAAGAGCTGTTTAAACGTTTTCAGAATTTCCTTTAAAAATGCTTTAGATGTGTTTACATGAATTTAAAATTGCTCAAAAAATGTTTAAGACGTGTATACATGAAGTTCAAATTTGGCCAAAAATGCTTAAAGACATGTTTAAAGATACGCTCTGGTGTTCTTTCCCCTACCATTCTGCAGGGACCTGTCAGTTGACACGGAGCTCTTAATTGGGTGTGAAGTCTGTTTGAAAAGAGCACTTTACAGAAGAGTTCTAAGAGTGAAGTATCACTATCAGACAGCAGGTTACACTGCGAAAAAAAAAAAAGGTACAGTCCTATATCTCCTGTTCTGCTGGGCCTATTAATGACATTCAAACTGCGTTTTTCATATCTGGAAAGCACGACTTAGGATATATATTAGATTTATATATAGCATTGTTCTAATATAGGTACTTTGACACAAAATCTGACTTTTTCTGAAATTACATGCCAATTTTTTTCCAAATTTTTATATTCTACAACTTGAATTATGTCTATATATTAAATTTTTGTGAAATTTGGTGCGAAATTTCCGGAGAAATTCACAAGTTTAGCTTGCCGCATTTCTTTCAGTTTGCGCCAAGAATAGTTCACTTGGCAAACTTCTTAATATATGGCAACCATTTTTCCTTTCACTTTTTACATTGTGCATGAGCAGAGAAAAGTCACATCGTTCCTACTTTCAAATAATTTTAATAATGTGCCTAAATCACATTTGATGTTATTATCGCTTTCCACAAATATGCTGAATTTCAAAACGCACCAATATATAAATTCACTTATACCTTCGGAAATATTGAATAAAAAACTAATTTTTAGTGGTATGCTTAGAAATACATCTACTTTAAGAAGATGGTAAAAATTGTATAGATTATCGAATTTTTTTTGAAAAATTTATAAATATTTAAAAATACAAAATTTAAAAATAAATCGTAAAAAACGCGCAAATTTTATTTGGAATGAACCTAAATTTCGAAATAGGAAAGGAAGAGTCAACTAAGCTTTATAAATAATATTAATAAATATATACTTAATTCATTTAACATTGAGGAGTTCAAAGTTTGAGAGCTATTTTTTTTTTTAAAAACTACTTAAACTTTTTAAAAATCTGGCAGTTTGGCATAATTTGAATCATAAAATCGAAATATGGGAAACGGCATGTCATTTTAGAAAAAGGTCTGATTTCATGTGAAAATACCTATATTAGAACAATACTATATACAAATCTAATACATATCCTAAGTCGTGCTTTCGAGACATAAGAAGAAACACAAGTTGAATTTCGTCACGGGAGATATAGAACTGCCCCACCTTTTTTTTGTGCAATGTATGTATTATCTCTCTGGCAACTGCAAGTTTATGAATGAAGATAAATCGGCTTACAAGAGTTTGCCTTGTTCTCCTTTATACAAACAAAACTCAAACAGAATCCCCCTTTGTTATAGTACATCATCAAATTTTAGTAAAAGCAGGAAAAGTAAGAATAGTAGCAGAAGATGTACTTTTTAATAAATCATGTATTATCAAATATTTTAAATATTTTTATTTAATCAAATATTTTATTTTTGTATTAAAAGTTGATTACAATTTCTGATTCGTTAAGAAGAGAAAATATAAAATGTTGCAACCAGCTTTTTTGTTTGCCCTTGTATTTTAGGTGCAGGTTATTTTAATGGTATATTCTTTTTCATATTTTGAAATGTTAAAACTGTGCTTTCAGCATGCCTAAGTTTTTTCCTCGTATGTGTGGCTGTGTTATTCCTTAAAACGGAGAACTGACATGTAAAAATTTCTTGAATGTTGAAAGGAAAATGTTCTGCTCGAAAACTTCAGTCAGTTTGAACAATTTGATATACTGAAGGAATTTTAAAAATATTTGTTTAAAAAATTTTATTATTAAGATTTGAAATACAAAACAGTTTTAAAGTCTAGGGAAAAAATACACATTTCTTGAACATTGTTTGGAAAGAAATCGGTATAAAATCGTTTAAAATTAATGGAGTGGAAGTTAAGTAAAACAGTTAGTGTATGGAAGAGTTAGATTTACTGCCCCCCAAAAAGTTACAGTCAGAAGAACAATTAACTAAAGAATTTAATTAATTACATTAAACGAATTTCAAATAAATTATAAAATAAATTAACATCTCTCCAAATGTTAATGCTGAACAGCAATACCACAAATTAAAGTTATTTTTAAGTTCCAAACTTAATTAATACATTGTTACACAATAATTATGTCTTTGTCTTGTTTACTTTGCAAAGATCTTTGATACAGATACTACAAAAGGCTACCAATGTCGTAGCAGTAAAATTGTTGAATACTAATAGTTTGAAGCGGGTTTAAATCCTGGCAAATGGATTTCCTGCATACCAGTTTTCGTGGCTAGCCCATGTTTAACATAAATATGAGCCAATTTCAATTAGCTCTTCATGAAGACATGCCTTGACTATGAGTCATCATTTGGGATTATGTTTGGTTTGGCTTGTTAGATCATGGCAAAGCATGCGAAGGCGATCTGCCTAAGGGAGAGTATGCTTTCATGACAGACTTTCAAAGGGAAACTATATCGTACCCATGTACGTATGGTTCAAACCAGAAAAACGCCCATGCAATGAGTGTTTTAGCAGGGGGTTGAATGCGGGTCAAAGTACCAGTATACTAAGAGAGAGGCCGCGTATAGTTTGCCATAAGCTAAACAAAATAATTAAACAGTATCAAAATCGTTTTGCATTACTGAAATGGCAATAGCTTCGTATTATACTAGGCTACCTTTTTTTTGCCTAATACGAAATTTTGATCTTTTCCATTATCGGATAGCCCACCAGGTGGCTGAGCGGAAAAATCGCAACGGAACAACTGGTGGTTTGGTCCAGGTTTCAAATCCTGGCAATTGGGCTGGCTGTGCAGACGCTTTCTTAGTTTTCCTTATGTATAACGTGTATTAAAGCCAGTTTCCATTAGGAAGTCCTCCAACGAAGACAGCCTTCACCTTAGGTAAATAGCCCTCGAGTACTTTGCCATAATTAAATAAAGCAAACCATTTTCACATAACATACTTCAAATATTTTTCTGTTGAAAAGTTATGTGTCAAAGTTGGCCTCCCATGAAATGAGATATGTTATTGCCACTTACCTGACATAACCATCGATCTTTTGTGCACTGTTTTTGGTAATCGAATAATCAGCCGAAATGCTGATGTCAATTGGCCGCCTTGGAGCTGTGATTGGACCCTGTTGGATTTTTTTGTGTGGGGAATTCATTATGCTAACCATCCAAAGATGATTGATGCCTTGAAGCACAAAATCGAAGTTGCCATTTATGTGACTGGAGCTCAGACAATTGAAAATGTATTGAAAAATTGGTTTGATCGGATGGGGTACTGTCAAGCCAGTCGTGGCAGTCATTTGACTGATGTTGTGTTTCATTTTTAAATGAAATGTCCAATCTTTCTAATAAACTCATAATTTTGAAAAAAAAAAAAATAAACATTCATTAGTTTTTTTTTCTGATTCAAATTGCAAAAGTTAGATGGCCCACCCTTTATATGTGCATCTTAACACATCAACCTAACGTTTACACAAACTGAAATTAATAAAAACAAAATGTCTGCTAGCTGGCGGGCAGAATAACTCAATGCAAAGTAACTTAAGAGTAATTCACTATATCAGCAAAACCTAATTTAAACCTTGTGTGACTTTGACTAGCCGCTCACCATCCACACAAAAAGTCAAAACAAGGAAATCTTTGCCGGCAAGTTAATACAAAACAGCAGAAATTCACAGTAGTGTAGCAGTCAGTTTAAGTTACAAAATGCTGTCCGATAAACTCTGCAAATAGATTCATACTTATACTTTAAGCCCAATTTGAATTTTGATGGAAGTTCATTAATGTATAGTAAACCAAAATGGAAAGATCGCTGATTAATTAAAGTAGAATGCTATATATTTACTCCTCATATAAAAGCATCTAAATATCTATCTATTATAAACAAATACTTGGGACATATATAGTGTAATAAATTTCTTAAATCCTAGTGCATTTGGCATCATTTTCATAAACTACAGATCCCACTCATGGATAAGCACTGGTAGTTTGATCCTGATTGAGATCCATGAGAACGGGTTCATAGCATCAGCGTTTTCATGATTTCCTCATATGTAACGTAATTACAAGCCAGGTTTTCTTAGAAGGCTTTTAATGAAGGCATCCCTTCCCTAAAACAGACAATTTTAATATCTTTGCCAAAATTAAATAATTCAGTCCAGTTATAAGCGGTATAAGCTGCAAAAGGTTATTTTGGCAATGAAGTGTGTAGGAAAAAACCAATGTACGAAACTGAACTAAGTAATTGAATCTGGTCAAAAAGTGTAAGTTAATTCGCATTTTGAAGTCATTTCTAAATGTGTCTGAAGAAATTACGCATATTTGATTTTGAAATGCGTAACTTCTGCAGCCTAAAACAAAATGAAAAAGGGTTCGGTTTTAAGTAAAAACAAAGAATTAGAGATGACTACCTTCATTTATAGCTTACCACTATATGTAAGAGTCCTTTAACCTGAATTTCTTTTGACGTTCAGTAGAAGGTGTGATACCTGAAAACTGAACTTATGATCCTTTTAAAATTCTAATGATTTTCACGGTGAGGAGGGAATTTGTAAGTAAAGAGTAAGAACAAAGAGGAGGAGATGATATAAAAGCGATAGTTATTTTTAGAGGTTTTATGATTCAAGTGATCTCGGCCAAAGCAAAGATGACCATCGTATCTCTGTAGCTCTAAAATCGCTTTTGCGTTCTTCAGGATTGAAGCTGCGAAAAAGGTATTTCTTGTATCATGTAATTCAAGATTTTATAACTGGGATGGTTATTTGGATTTGATTCACTAATTAGGCGTAGAACTCATGGGCTATCTCCTTAATATTACTATATTAATTGTCAGTTTTACAGTATAGAACATTGGGTAACAGAAATAAATGTATGTTTTATACAGTCTTCTTTCTTCAACTAATTACACACTTACTGCATGAGGCGATTCATCGCTTTAGAAACTTAGGCATAAATAGCATGGCTCCGAACAGAAAGTAAAATAACAACTGTTAGATAAGCAATAAAATAATAAACTATGAGAAATGACATATTTAATCACTTAAAAAATTAATGCTTTGAAGATTTCTGATTCAAATTCGTACATTTGTACGATGCGGTATCAATGAAGTTTTCTCTCTATACGTAAATAATCACTTAAAATTTTGCTTTACATTAGAAAACACAAAATTATACAAGTTTGTGCACTTCTAAATTGTTATTAAATTTGATTAAGGAAAAGTGATAGTTTCCAGGCCTTTCTATATTGATAAATAATTCTGGCAATTTCTAGAAAAATGGCAGCTTTACGTACGCATTCTCAGTCACAGTTTAAAATCTAAACATTAGATAACTACGCTTGCATTAGAATAATTATCGTTTTTTTCTCATTTAATAGGGCAATCATGTATTTATCGAAACACAAACACATGACCTCTGTTCGACGCTCATTTTATCTATTACTATGTGATTAATCCTTAACCTATGATTATTCGTAAACAATAGAATGCAGTATCTGTTTCTGAGTCTTTTCGCTATTACATTTCGTACTGTTCGGTCATCAGAGCTTTATTTCTAAAATGCAAGAAAAATGTTGCTGCGGCAATTGCACACTTAGCACTGGGACATCTATTGCTCTTGCGATATGTGCGGTAAGCTTTTACGTTCAAGCAAACATTTCTCAATGATTTTAAAATTATCTAAGAGATAAATGAAATGGTTTCGCTTAAAGTTTAAAGTAGGTAAACGTATGAAGTACATAACTCAATTATTATATCATCAGTCTTTTATAACTTCCTCAAACTTTTTCTGATATTTAAGTAGAAAATCCCAACTTCACTAATGATATTTTTAGCAGGTTGTGGCAACTTTGTTACACAAAACAATTAACCATTTGACAAAGATCAAATTTTTACAAATGAGAATAAAATGCGAATATTTAGAAATATTTTGGCAAAAAATTTCCTCTTCACGTTTAAGTGATTTTCTTGAAGAAATCTACTTCAATTTTTACTTTTAGAATTTATAACATCTTCTAACTTTCAAATTGCTACAAATTACACAAAATAATTAACCATTTGACAAAGATCAAATTTCTACAAATGAGAATAAAATGCGAATATTTAGAAATATTTTGGCAAAAATTTCCTCTTCACGTTTAAGTGATTTTCTTGAAGAAATCTACTTCAATTTCTACTTTTAGAATTTATAACATCTTCTAACTTTCAAATTGCTAAGCATTTTTATTTTCCTTGTACATCTTTGTAATAATTAAGAGAAGCTAATAATGAAGCATAGTACTGTTAAAACTACAGGAATAATAATCAAGTAAAGAAAATTATTTCATTTTCATAGTTGCTATGATAAATAAAATATGTTAGCATTAAAACTCCACCTAACATAGTAAACCGTACCATCAGGCAGGCAAAAAGGTTATACGGCATTTCTCCCGCCTTCTTAACATGCCTTCGTGGTGTGGTGGTCAGCACACTCAGCGCATATTCGAGAGTTCGAGAGGTCCGTGGTTCGAGTCCCGGCGAGAGCAATGCTCATTTTTTCTCTCTCCTGCTTTCAAAAAGTAGCTAATAACTCTACAGGAGCACCCGAACTAAAAAAAAAGTGGTGGATGATGATTCTCCACCATCAGGATTTGGTGACTGTGTCCCCTTATCCCCAGTTGCCCTTTAAAAGGGGAAGTATATTTCTCCAGCCTTCTTAGCATGCTTTCGTGGTGTAGTGGCCAGCACATTCGACGCGTATTCGAGAGGTCCGTGGTTCGAATATCGGCGATGATAATGTACGTTTCTTCAACTTTCTGACTCAAAAAAATTCTAATGACTCTACAAGGCAACTAAGAAAATAGCTAATAAAAAAGATGACTGGCAAAAACTGAAACTTAAAACCCGACTTCTCGTAAAACTGGACCCTGTGATCATGCTCTAAGGAAATCAATTAATCTCGCCGAAGAGGTTCACCTCGTCCTTTATTCGTAATAAAGAAACTCAAAAAAATGAATTTGATAAAATAATAAAAAATTGATAAGCTATTCAAAACAAATTTCAATTAATATCATAACGGATGAAGAGAAAATGACAAATATTATTCCATCTTTACAATGCATAACTCTTTTTTCCTTTTTTTGGTACATACAGGCACCACCTTTTAGTTCGAACGTCATTTGTAGAGACTTTTTGGAATTTTTGAAAGCAAGGAAATTGAAGAAGTCCTCAATGCCCTCCAGGGATTCGCACTCCGGACCTCCCGAATACGCGTCGAGCGTGCTTCCAGTTACACCATGAATGCATGCGGGAAGAAGGAGAAAATACCTTACAAATAAATAAAAAAAAAATTCATTAGCTGCTGAGAAATTATTATAATATTTTGTTCTTAGGTTTATAGTTAAGGGACAATCCCCAAAATAATGACTCTTAGCTGGGAGTCGGCTCTGTTGACCACATCTACATCTAATATTCGTTTTAGGAAATCTATTTAAGCATTCGGGAAACTGCCCATGACCTATTATTAATTGATTCAAAAACATATTGGAGCTTAGCTTTCTCATTTACTTTATATAGAACCCTATACCAGGGCTTCTAGTCATAGTTTGATATCATCTCTGCTGTCAAAGAAGTGCTTTCTCATGACGTACATACATTAGGATTTTTCGAAGCAGGAGAGATGAAAAATGAGCAACGTTTTCGTCGGGAACCGAACCACGGACCTCTGGAATATGCTTCCAGCATGCAGACCACTATACCACGAAGGCGCGCTAAGAAGGCGGGAGAAATACCTTTTAATGCCACGAAGTCTTTGTATATTCCAACAAAGTAGTCGCAAATATATATCAAATTAAGTGTTTTTTTTTTTTTTTTTTTTTTCTTTTTTTGTAGCGTATTTCGTTGCTTTATCAGCGGCTTCATTGCCTGCTCGGATTTCTCCTTATCTAATTAATATTCAAATTATAATTTAAACTCAAGTCATGCACCAAATTTCTTATACATATTACTTTTTTTGATAAACACTTTTTGGAACAAAATGCTTTTAAAATACTTTGTGAACCAATTTAAAAAAGGAAATTTCATTACTTCTACATCGTTTTCCATTCTGAAGTTGATCAGTCCATTTAATCGCTCTTTCAAGATCTATAACTCAGGATAAAATATTCTAGTGCCAATAATTTAATTAAAAATTTTCTTCAAAGACATTTTCATTATCATATTAAGCCACTAATGCCTCTTCAACATTACTGTTTATAATAGAGCCACCGGTTAAAAATTCCAGTCCGTTCCACCTTAGGATTATTCCTTTTTCAAAGAAATTGTTTGAATTTTGTCGGATGAATATAATATTTTCCACATGACACTTCAATATCTTTATGAATAATTTTAAAATTACAATAATTTACGTATGTATTTGTATGTACATGTGTGATGATTTGTAAATTGAAGTTTCTACGTCGCCGACCAAATCTGCTGGAATAACACCTGTTAAAACTTGCAAAATGTTCTGTAACAACATGTGATTCAGAGTAGTGCTGTGCTTTGAATTTGGAGTAATTTAATTCTTCGCTTTTCAGTTCCCATCCTTCAAATTGGTGCTTCATACAGTATTATTTGTTCAATGTTACGTTTCTATAATTTTTTTAAAATCATTTATATTTTTACTTGAATCTCTATTAATGAACCTATTTAATTGATTAACAATTCTATTTTTTTTTTCTTTCTTGAGATTTTCTGAGTATGCTAACGAGCTTAAGATCACATCAAGGAGAATATCCAAATATTTACCTGACTTACAATTTTTTATGCTCATATCGTTCCATGTTAACATAGGTGACCGAATAAGGGTGGAACTCTTCGGAAAGATTAACATAGAAATTTTTCCATGTCTAATTTCCATAACTAAAGCCAAGTTTAGCTCCTTCTTCAATTACTAACTGTTTATTTCCTGGAATTACAAGCAAGTAACCCTCTGTGTATGCTTGTAAACCAATTCCTTTATCAAAATCCAATTGACGTGCAGAATCAGCTATTATGCTGCACATGATCGGTCCTAACAGGGAACCCTGAGGAGCTCTTTTACTATAGTTCTTTGAAATAAATACGTTTTCATTACAGTATAGATCAGGGATGGCCAAGTTTGGAGTTTTCAAAAGATTTCTCTTACCTTAACTGCCTTATTGACATCTTTCGAAGCCTTTCCCAATAAGCCATCGAATTCTTTCGGATGGTCGTATAAGATAGATAAAATATTGCTTGCATTATATAGATGTGTAACCTCTGAGCTAGTAGAAGCATCCTTGTTATGTTCTTTCCTCATCATCTGCCATCCCGCCGGTACCCTGGAGCTCATACTGGGGTTTGTGTGCCGCCGTGGAGTGAAACTTGGCTCCTGTGTAACATAAGTAGAGCCTGCCAACCACGATGAGGTAATTAGGCCCACGTACATAATAAAATATCCGGTTAGAAGGAGAAAATGTAAAGACCGACGTGAATAAAATGGATTACATTTGATAGCTTGTAGTGTTCACTTGTCTAACTTCTGTGTGAGAACTGGAAGAGTAGTAACTGCACAGAAGAAGGGTTAAAAGTACCCTTTATTTACACTCTTTAAAATTTACAATGCGTCAACTCGACGCTAGCAGACTACGCCTCTTCTTAGGCGGTAACTGAAATCACAGAACAAAACTAAAAATTCGAAGATATGCACAAGTCGTAGAACTAAGCTGCAGGGCTCAGCTAATTCCTGTTTCTTAAACCCGCGTCGGAACTAGTGGCAGAAAGAAAATGCAGTTATGCCACGAAAACCCACAATAACTCCGGGAGCAGAAGCTTACGCAACAAAGGTAACGGCAATAGCCTAACTCTGTCTAACTTTCCTACTGAACCTCGGTTTCGTTTTTTGAACTCTTTGTTCAAGGTAGAATTTGCATTCCTCTACGCGCGCTACCAAATTTAAATATTCTGGCATTGACAATTAGAAGAATGAAGGCTTATAAGAAAGAATAACAAATTAAATAAAATTGGTTATTTAAAATAAATATAAATCCCGACAAGCTAATTTAACAAAGGATTCCTCAGCCCTTGTTTGCCCTGAAAATACTTTTATTAATTTCAATAAACTCCCGCTGCAGCCCTATGGGGCTCCAGGGAGTTGCAGTTTCTATATAGGGGAAGGCTCGGGACATATGCCTGTTTACCACTGTTAAACGCCAAGCGTCCCCGTCTTCCGCCACCTGTCTTTTTTTAAGATCAAGGTGTGTGTGTGTGTGATTATGGCAAAGCTTCGAGGGCTATCTGCCTAAGGGGAGGGATGCCTTCGTGGAGGACTTTCTAAGGGAAACTGGCTCGTATACACGTTACACATGGGGAAAACCACGAAAACGCCCATGCAGCCAGCCCGTTCGCGGGATTCGAACCTCGGACCGAACTACCAGTGTTCAGCGATTTTACCGCTCGGCCGCTGATGGGCCTTTTTTTTTTTTAAGATCAAGGAATAGCAAGAAGACATTTTATGTATTTTGAATTCTACTAGAAATTCGTTATGGAAATGAGTTTCTGGATTAAATCCAATAAAGAAATCAAATTTATATTAAAAGATTAGTTATTTATTTGCTTATTTATTTCATTATTTATTGTTTAATAGGTAGAAGCTTTTTGTGGGCTTATCTTGAATATAGAGCTATTATTAGTGCTGACGAACAAAGAAATTTACAACCCTTTTGCTTTTGTTATCAATGCTGATCACATCGAAGACTATGACCGTAAGTTATTCTTATGTACTTATTTTGCAATCATGTTATAAAGAAAGATTCGGATTATCGAAGATTAATTTTAATTTGCAATACTAGTAATAAGCTACCTTAAAATTGAAGGAAAGCTAAGAGATCAGTTACGTAATGCACATCAGGACAGTGCATTTTTTATTCAAAAAATAGTTAGGTGCAGTTAACAGGGTTTTCATAAAAATTTTATTGCTTAATGTATATTCACACACACACACACACACACACAGAAAAAAAAAAAAAAAAAGTTGTATTTTAAAATAATTTTAGCTCTTGAGTTAAATATTTTGTTTTAAATTTTCATGCAGGTGATGGAAGGAGATATTTCTTCTTTAGCAGCGTCTTCATGTGTTAAAACTTTTTTATGGGTGCAAAATACATTCATCTTTTTAGAAGAATTTCGATCAGATAATTGCCATTGTTGTAAAGTTTCTTCTGGACTAAATATCTCCGAAAGAGGATACGAGTCTCGAATTTCATAGTTTATTAATGTATTTAAAATCTTTACAGGATTTCACTTATAAGGTTCCATTTAGTTTATTAACAAGTTATTTTATGTTAATGTGCTTTTCTGTCTTTTTCGTTTCCCACCTTCCTGCCAGAATGTAAATTTGTAGCTCGTATTTATTCAAATGACGTAGAAAGGAAATATTATTTAAAGGAAGGTTTTAGAGGGTAGATTCAGAGCATGTTCCTCCTACTGAAGGCCCCGTTGCTATTTTGATTCTCTAGAGAGTAGTATTCGGCAGCGTTTTCTCTATTCTCTCCATTAGACTTGCCACGCCAACTTTAGGTCAGAGCTAATTTGCGCGTTTCTTTAACTTTGTTAGCTATTGGGCTAACTTACGTTTACTTAGTTAAGTCAATTTCATTACCTTTGATTTAAGCCATAAATGCTGGCTATTTTTGTAAGCACGAGTGGTGCCTTTTGTTAACTTTTATTTGATTTATATAAAAGGATCCTTTACATTCTTTCTCAGTCTCTGTGATACCATACGAGGCATAGTAATAACTCACTTAAGATCGTTAGAAGTTTCGTACATTTGATGCTACCAAAGACCGCGAGACTTTATACACTTAATCTAGTAGTGCTACTTAGTCTTATAACCCTACTGAAGTGAAGCCTATTATCTCTATGTTTGAGGTAACCTACAAAGGCATAAGGTTTTAAACAACCTTTTCATTTGAACAGAACGGGGAACATAGGAGCAAGGTCTTGTGCTGCAATAACCCTGACTTGTGGTGATGCAAAGAAAGATAACAGTCAATTTAAATTAAACGTCAAAGAGTAACCTAAGGTAACACAATTAAATACTAAGCTAGAAGCTGGCTCAATAAATTTACCGGTGACGTCAGATTCAAAGTATTGGAGGCGAGAGGCCGCACCGAACAATTACGACTACTTGAGCTACACTCATGTCCATAAATTAAGGATAATTCGGAGTCACGCGGAAATCGAACTCTAAAATAAATATATCACATGTAAAATCACTACACACATCTTCAAGAATCACATGCAAATTTCAGGAAGTAACCAGATGACACAGATGGTACGTCACAATGACGAGAGTGTAAGAGAGTGATATATAAGAAATACAGGCAAAGAAGCAAAATTGTTAGCAGGCGCTTTATAAGCATTTCAGTGCAATAACCCAATAGTTATGACACAAAGGAAGCATTTGGATGATGTTTTACGTGGTAGAATTATCGGCTGTCTGGAATGTGGGCGTACCCAACTGGAAGAGTATCAGACGAACTTGGAATTGCCCAGAGTGTCATCTCCAGGCTTTGGCAACGATTCCAAGATGATGGTAATGTGAGTAGACGTTACAGCACAGGTTGCCCCAGCGTTACAACGCCGAATGAGGACCGGTATTTGGCAGTTACTGCCAAAAGAAACAGGCGGAGCACAGCCTCAGACCTGTCTCGTCTGCTCTCTTCAGCCACTGGTACGACAGTTTCAAAGCAGACCGTGTACAGACGCTTAGAGCAGATTGGTCTATATGCTCGTAGACCTGTCAGATGCGTTCCGCTTACTGCAACTCACTGTCGCCTGCGGTTAGCCTGGAGTAGAGAGCATGCATTGTGGACACCGCAACAGTGGGCTTGTGTGATGTTTTCCGACGAGTCCAGATTTAGCTTGCAGTCTGATTCTCACCGGACTTTCATATGGAGAGCTCCTGGTACCCGTTACCACCATGAAAACATCATTGAACGAAACCGTTACGGTGGCGCAGGAGTGCTCGTTTGGGGTGGAATTATTCTGGGTTCCAGAACTGACCTGCATGTTCAAATTGGAACCAGGACAAGCCAAATCTATTGGGGCGTCATTCTGGAACAACATGTACGTTTGTTTAGGGGCGCCATGGGCTCACGATTTGTGTTTATAGATGACAACGCTCGACCTCACCGTGCAAACATCGTAAACGAATGCCTTCAATCGGAGGATATCACCGTATGGACTGGCCAGCATTCTCACCGGACTTGAATCCAGTAGAGCACGTGTGGGACATACTTGGCCGACGAGTTGCAGCCCGTCAACCTCCTCCTACATGTCTACCGGAACTTCGGAGAACACTGCTTTTTGAATGGTGTAATATCCCCCAAGATCAGATCGATAATTTGGTACTCAGCATGCCTAGGCGTTGTACGGACTGTATTGTACGGACTGGGAGACATACAATGTATTAACAATCATACCAACCATGTAATATTGGTTTTTTGTAAATAGTTTTTTTTTTTTTTTTGTAATTTGCTCCAGGGAGAAAAAATCGCTAGTTTTTTTTAATAATAAACATATAGCATCTCTTTTGCTCTTTACCTTTTGTTTCATAAATAAGCTTTACAAATAAGTCAAATTTGTTTTGCTTCTAACTCTTCCTTTGCCTGATTTTGCATTATCCTTAATTTATGGACATGAGTGTAGAAGAACCTAACCACGTAGCGAGCAAATGCCAGAAACACTCTCTGTTTCAAATTCGCAAAGCTCAGCTTATATATTCATAGATAATTTGCATTCTGGTGAGGGATATGGAAAGAAGTTATGATGCAGATCTAAATCATAATTGATGGTTATTTAAAATAATAATTATAGAACTTTAAATTTGAACTACACTTTCCATTTTTTCCAAAAAAATCTGTATCATACTTACCTGTTCTCTTATTTTATTATTATAATTTTACATGTTTTTAAAACTATAATACTGAATTTTAATCACTGATAAAACTTATCTATATTTTTAATTTGATTTCTAAAGGGTCAAAAAATATTTTTACGTACAGTAAAACTCCACTAAACGTGGGGGCTGCGTTCCATCAAAGTGGTTACAGTAGAAAACATCACAGACGAAAACGTCGCGGAGAAAACCACGCAAGGCGAAAACATCGTGGTACAAAAATATCGTCGTCGAACATAAAGCGGTTCAAAATCTTCACTGTTTAAAAACATCGTCTTCAAAAAAATTGTGGTAAAAAATAAGGCACCTACAAATCATAGCAAGACGATAACATCGCATATATCCGCTTTTCAGGTTTTAAAAGTAGTAAATGCATATTCGTATAAAAATTTGGAAGCGCAAGTTATGTTAACGACACTTTAACAATAAACGGAAACAAAACAAGATATAATTTTCATCAAAATAATGTCAGATTAACAAACGCGAAAGAAAGTAATTTGATAATTAACTAAGCAATTCTTATAGAGGTAACCTCACGCAGTTATTTATCTTCGTTTTTTATAATTTTTGGGCTGCATTTTTCATGAAAAATTATGAGTAAAACTTTATAAAAAAGATTAATTTATTAATAGCCTTTGTTAATTAACTATGCAAGTTTAAAATTCTTTCAAGGGCTATAAGTTACATTCATTTTCAAGTTTTAAATGCTTCGCGTTCCTTCTTAATTTTCAGCAAAAATTTATTAGTTTATTCAAAGATATGAAATGTAAAAGTAAAAATATCTCTCTTTCCTTTTGCGCCCCAAATCATTATGCGAATTTGTATTTACAGCTTTTAAAACCTGAAAAACGCATGTGTGCGATATTATCGTCACGCGATGATTTGTAGGTATTTTATTTCTTACCATGATATTTTTGACGACAGTGTTTTTAAACTGCGAAGTTTCTGAAGCGCTCTCGGAGAACCAAACGCTCTTCGCAGGTGAAAAGTCGTCCAAATGAAGATGCAAGCGAAATCTGCGTTTGGCCAATAGAATTATTGAGCAGAAAATATCATGTCGCATTCACAGAAGGCTGCAAAACAACAGATGAAACACTCCGCTGTTTCGGCATTTACCTAGAACAGTATGACACTCAGTTAACTTTATTACCAAATTTTGTTTAGTAATCAATTTAACAAGAGAGCGTAATGAGATTAAACGGTTATTTTACGCTCAAATAAATTTTAATGCAAATTAAGATTTAAGAAAGTATTCTAAATACACAGTATTATAGGATGACTGAATAACTTGAAAGGGCATTCATCATATAATAATATCAGTTTCGTGTTTTTTAAAAGTTCTTCCCAGCCTTGGCTTGCTTTTTTTATGTGTGGTGCGAGAGTACGTGTAAAGGAATCTGTGTAATAAGTTAAGCATCTTATAATTTGATCATTCTCAAATTATATTACACATACAAATTAGAAGACAAAAGTTCATCCAATAAAATTTATTCATTGCAAATTTAAATGAAAATTTATAGAGAAAATATTCACAGCAAAAGATAATAAAGTAATTTTTATGTAAAAAACAGTAAATATGCTTTTTATCTAAAGAATGTGACATAAATTTAATAACATAAGCCATTTTCATAAATAATATAAAGTAAATATGCCATTTTCATAATTAAGGGAAATAATGTAAAAGTATTAAATTTTAATTTGCAATGCTTCTAAGAGATTAATTATTTCTATGAACTGAAATACCAATAATTATTGCATTTAAAATATTAATATTTCTGAAATAATGTGCTTTGTAATTAAAGT